TCATTTCACCATGACAGCAATGCTGCCCATCATTCTTAGCTGGACAGGCCACAGATTTGTACAGTAGCAAGACAGGATTATATTCAGCAGCCCAGACTATGATCAGGACACAGGAGAGTTCAAAGGATTTGCTTCCAAGGAATCCCCTGAAAAGCCCTGCTCTGCTCCAAAAAGGAAGGGATTGTCCCCTTGTACACAGCACCAGTAAGACTGCATCTTGAATACTGGTCAGTTTTGGGCCCCTCACTATAAGAATATTTAGTTGCTTGAGCACGTGGAGAGAAGAGCAACAAAGCTGAAAAAGGAACCAAAAAGCAAGTGTTATGAGGAGCGGCTAAACAAGCAGGGCTGTTCAGTCTGGAGAGGAGGTGGCTGAGGGGAGACCTCATTGCTCTCTACAACTGCCTGAAAGGAGCCTGCAACAAGAAGGGTGTTGGTCTCTTTTCTCAGGTGACAAGTGATGGGATGTGAAGAAACGGCTTTAAGTTGTACCATAGGAGATTTCAATTGGACATTAGGAAGAATTTCTTCACAGTGAGGATGGTCAAGCATTGGAAGGGCTGCCCAGGAAGGTGGTGGAGTCCTCACCCCTGGAAGTATTTAAGAGACATGGCACTAAGGGACATGGCTTGGTGATGGGACTCGGGAGGTCAGGTTGATGGTTGGACTTGATGTCTTGAAGGGCCTTTCCAAACTAGATGGTTCTACGTTGCTATGAAAAGGTCATCAGGAAAGAAAAAAGCTAGAAGCAGGCTCAGAGCTAGACAACTTGTTTTAGCAAGCTTCAAGTGAAGGTGCAGTTACACATCGTAACACTGGCTACGTCGCTCTGTAGGTGTTTCAATTTAGAAGCAAGAAATCCCCAATCTGTTTACTACTTAGGCACAAGCACATTGAACTACATACAGAGAAAATAGCTACGAGATTAACACAGTCTCTTCGGAAAACCAGAAAAATGATTCTGATTGCTTTGAATCAAACTTACATTAAAAAAAAAAATAAAACAATGTTTAAATCAATTTTACAAAAAACTCTTGGTCAACATGTTACTGAAGTTAGGCCTTGCATGCATTATAGTTTCTTGCTGATTTACCTCTCATATTCACATGATGCACCCATGAAGCTGCTGAACTCGCATTGTCTGGTTTACCAGAATTTTCTGCTATACTCCCCTCTTCTTTTTCTACTTCTTTGTCTGCATCTACAAATTTTTCCTCATTCTCTTCATCCTCTTCTTGATCCTTAAAGTACTCTTCTTCATCAGACTCCTAAATAAATAAAAAGAAAAAAAGTTTGTGAACACCTTCTCCTTTCCAGTTTTATTCTGATTTGTTAGAAAGATGCATGTATTTCTAAAGTAGCTGCTCACAAAAACACAGGCAAACAATGGCCAGTATTTCAGCAACACAGACTTTTGGCCTTGATGTTTACAAGACTTAAAATTGAACTCTACAGTCACAAAGAAGGACATGTTTGGAAAAAGCTTTTTTGGACAGGAATGTTTACCTGCTTGCTTATATGGCATTTAGCAAAATAATCCTCTCTCCATAAAAGAAGGACATAAGACTTGCTAGAATGTTTACATCTATACAGATTCTTAATGTAATTATGATTGTTCAAGTACTTTCTCCCATAATGTAACCAAATGTTAGTAAACTCTGATAAAAATTCTGTTTAGAAAGGCAGTCCTTCCAGTAAAGGAATTACTTGCAAAGGGAAACAGGTTAGGGAAAGGCGTTCATGAAATTAGCTCTTAGTAAAAGCCCAACGAAATAAAGAAATGCTGTACCATGTGATCCTGTAACTGGACCCTTAGCCCCGGTTTTACTTTCAGAAGCTCGGACAGAAGGTAGAGGGTTCCACAAATGAAGGGTGGTGTTTGCCCGCAAGCGACTTGAAGTAACCTCTTCACAAAGGCCTTCACTCGCCGTAATACTACATCTGCCTTCAGAGACTTATAGACAAGGTTAAGAAACATGGATGGCTTTGAGCAGGCTGCTAAACCAGGATCTAGAAGCTTCCTGTAGAAAACGCAGGAGAAAATACTGTTAATTGTCACGATGCACATAGAATAGTAATTGCTGTCAACAACAATTAGGTACATTTTTCAGACTGGTATCCAGAAGACCACATCCAGCTTGCTCGCCAATACTCCAAACCATTATGACCAAGCCCAAAACACCAATGGCTGCGTAATATTTTTAATCTTCAGTATATCGTATATTACGAATACAGCTAGCAGTAAATGAAAAAAAAATACTAGAGAAACAGAGCTCAAGAGAAAAGTTTAAAAATTGAAGATGTATAAAGTGAGAAGGTAATCTATTCAGATGTTCAAAAAGTAGAAAGAAAATGGTTAGCAATCAGCAAGCTTCACAATGAGTCTAGGTATCTGTGTTGCCCAGGTATCTGTGTTAGCAAGTGCATTTTCTATTCTACTTTTTTCCAGGCCACCTGGCTCAGGAAGGCCGCTAAATGCATTGCATGTCCTGGGAGAACCTGAGCTCCCCTTCTAAAATCAGCAGCAATTAAACAGAAGCCTGCAAGGATCCTAAGAAGAGTCTAAAAAATCAGCCAGGACAGAAGAAAGTGATAGTTTTACAGCCCAAGGTTTCCCAACTTAACAAATTAAATCACCTAAGGATTTTGCTGACATTGCATTTTTTCATGAAAAAAGGATTTTCATTAAAAAAAAACAGGATTGTAGGCTATTACATAGCTAAAACACGCTACCTGTACAAGTGATTTTAGAAGAAGCAATTATCATTTAGTTTCAAAACATATCTGGAATTAAAGCATACTACCAGAAAACAGCACAAAGCATAAAATCCTTCAGGCATGTTCCTAGGAACTACCACTGCTATGTTTTATCCCCATGTCAAGTAAAAGAAATCCCATATATTTTCTTCTAGCTCACAGAAAACATCAGAAACATCTAGCCAGCGAGACACAAAACTTGCAAGATCCTAAAAGCCAAGTACACATTTCTACAAGTTAAAATCACTTTGAATTATCAGCGACTACTTCATAAAATTAAATTTAGACCAGAAATCCAAACGTGCCACTCACTTGTATAGCGCTGCGTAGTACCTGTCCGACACAGTCTGCTGGGAGTCCATGACCTGAAACAGCAGCATCAGGGCCTGGACACTGGTGCTGAAGTTGACAAGATGCAGAACTTTAAACAAGGTGTTCATTTGCTCCTTCACTTTCTCATCGCCAGTCTCAGCATAAGGGTAAGCTCTGTTCACCCCGCTAAGAAGAGCGCTGAGCATTTTGGATTCAACATCTTTTTTCTTAATGCAGTTCCGAAAGAAGGAGAAATACAAAGTTATCAGCTTGTTAGCCAGCGACACTTCCTCATGACTGAGGACCATCTGGTTCAGAAAGCACATGGCATAGTACTGAGTTTTCACGCTGATGTTTGAGCGGTACAAAAGCCTCTCCATCTCACTGCACACCACTCCTTTCATATTTGGATGCTTGTAAAGCAACGTCTCTAAGAGATACGAGGCTTTGGTGGCTATTTTGTTCTGCGGGTCTCCCAGTTTATTTACCAGCTGAACGAGCAGAAATTTCTCCTGCTCGGGCTTGTTGCAGAGCAGCTCATGGGCAGCTGCCAGCGCTCGTGCTTTGGTTGCTGTCACAGAGTCGTGACTCAGGGTTTCTAAGGTTTGCACAAATTCTGCCACCTGCAGTTTCAGCTGATGCTCGAAGTACCACAGTATCAGCCTCCTGTCTCTCGAATCCCTGTTGCCACTTGACATCTTCTCTATGTTGTTAAAAGGACGCTGCGAGAAGGACCACAGTTTTCCGAGTGTCTGGTAAAAGATCTGAAAGGAGAAGCTCCCTGAAAGTATCCAAAGCCATGAGGCTCTGCTGCCTGCCACCCTTTTTCTTGACGAGGTTTACCAAGTTCTCAACAAACTGCAGGCTGTGGACAGCGCTGTCCTGGATGAGCAGGGTCATGGCTGCCATCCTGTCGGGTAAGGTACCCGATGACACCACAGTTTTCATCCACGCCGAAGAGGCCCCCTTCTGATAGTCTGTCTTGCTCTTGTACAGCTCTGTCTCGTGCTGGTACAGCTTCTGGGCCAAGGCCTTATACTTGGACAGCAGCGCCTGGTCCTGTGGCTCAGAGGAGAACTCGCTGGTGTATTCCAGGTCATACCACTTGCCCCCTGGCTTGATCAGGATCACCTGCCTGGCGTGAAACTCAAAATCCTCCTCCGGCCTCTCCTTCTGTGCCGAGAGCTGCTGCTCTGGGACCCCACCAGCTTTCTTTTTCTTGCTCTCCTTCTTGCTGCTCACTTGCTCTTTGCCTTTTTTTTCCTTTTTCCCCCCTAGCGGAGCCGGGGCGCTCTCCTTCTTCCCTTTCTCCTTCTTGGGGGGCTTCCCCTTCTCCCCTCCACCATCCTCCTCCTCCTCCTCCTCCCCATCCTCCTGCATGCAGCTCTCGGCGAACCTGTCGAACCCCAGCGAGCTGACGAAGGCCTCCAGCTCCCCTTCCTCCAGGTCATCGATGGCGCCCTTCCTGCCGCCGTCCACCATCTCCTCCTCCTCCTCGTCCAGGGCGCACAGCATGAGGAAATCTTGCTGCGGGGACACGAGCGGCCGTTACCCGGGGGGCAGCCGCTACCGCCCGCCACGTGCTCCCGCTCCCCTCCGCGCCCCTCACCTTGGTGCCGCCGAGCCGCAGCACCTCGTCCAGCGTGAAGCCGTCCCCGCCGCCGCCTCTACCCCTATCCCCGTCCCCGTCGCCATCCCCGTCCTCCTCGCTCCACTCGTCGCCGTCCCCCGCCTGCTCCTCTCCCGGCCACCGCCGTCCCCTCAGCGCCGCCATGGCCGCCGCACCGCCCCCCCCCCGCCCAGGCGCAGCCGCGCTGCCGGCTCCCGGCGCGCCGCGGGGCCGAGCGCGGCCCCTCCCCGCCATGGCGGCCGCTGTGGCCGAGCCGCCTGCTGCTGCCCGCGGCTTTGCGGCTCGGCGGCCGCCGCCGGGGCAGCGCCGCCGCGCTCGGTCCCCCGGGATCGGGATCGGGGTCGGCGGCGCGGCCGTGCTCGGGGGGCGGCGGCGGCGGGGTGCTGCGGCACCTGCTGCTGAAGCTGCGGGCCACCGGGCCGCTGACGGTGGCCGAGTACATGCGGGAGGCGCTCACCAACCCCGGCCAGGTGCGGCGGGGCCGGGGCTCCGCGAGCCCCCCCGGGTCTGGGTCTGGCCCCGGCCCCGGTCCCCTCACCGCCTCCCCCCGCAGGGCTACTACACGCGGCGAGGCGGCGTCGGCGGGGACTTCATCACGGCGCCCGAGGTCAGCCAGCTGCCGGGAGAGGTGAGCGCCCGCCGGCAGCCGGCACAGCCCGGGGGAGCCGGGGACGGGGCGGGCTGCGGCTCAGGCTGAGAGCGGCGCCGTGTCCCTGGCAGGTGATAGGGCTCTGGTGCCTCAGCGAGTGGATGGCCGCCGGCAGGCCCGCAGCCATGCAGCTGGTGGAGCTGGGACCGGGGACGGGCGCGCTCACCGATGATATCCTGCGGGTAGGTGGAAATAAAGGTTATTCCTCTCCTTTCTGGCTTTATTTATTTGTTAGACATTGGAACAGGCTGCCCATGGCAGTGGTGGAGTCACCATCCCTGGAAGTCTTTAAAAGACGTTTAGATGTAGAGCTTAGGGATATGGTTTAGTGGGGACTGTTAGCGTTAGGTCAGAGGTTGGACTCGATGATCTTGAGGTCTCTTCCAACCTAGAAATTCTGTGATTCTGTGATCCGTAGGTACGCTGATATCTGAAGTAAGGTTTTGGTATGGGGGTGTAACATTCCCTATTGGGACTTGGTGAAGAGACGGCATTTCTCTAGTGGCAGGAGAACGTGGGCTGGCCTCTGTGTGGTGCACAGGCACCTGTAACGGTGCAGTCGCCTCTTGATAGAAAGGGAGGGCAGGAAAGCTCCAGCACAGATTATTCATTTATGGAAAGATCTCTTCCAAACTGGAACGCCATCTAGGAGGGTGCTGCTGTGCCTTAGTCTGCCTTAGTGCAAGCAACAGCACAGAGCAGGGAGGACATGAGCACAGGAGTGAAGTTGAATTCAGCTCTCTGAGGCTTTCAGGAGCTTGCTGCTTCTGAGTTAACCGTTCCTGCCCTAGCACTTGTGCAGGGCTGTCTGATAATTATACTACTACTAACTCAGAAACCAAACTGCTAAGGGGATTTAGTACTTCAAAAAGCTTTGTTTCATTTACGTATGCTAATGAAAAAGCCCAAATAACCATAGTGAAATAAGCAGTAGTAAGCAGCTTTTGTTTATGCAGTTTAACCAAACTGAACCATTTTTCTCGCTGTTAGCTCTTCTGCAGGTAGTAGAGAAGCTACTAACTTGCATTTCATGTCCTTATTGCTATATAATGTATGTGGTAGCTCTCCGACTTCTATTAGAAGCATAGCAGCTTTTATTAAAACTAACAAATTCCCATTCACCTTCTGGAAGAGCAAAACGCAGTCCTTTCTGCTGAGACTATTTTACTGATGAAAGCTAACAATCTTCTATCTTCAATATAATGTGATTAAAGGTTAATTTGAGACATATATGGAGCCTATGACTGTACCTAATAGAACTCATCTGCCTTTGTAGGTCTTCAAGCAGCTTGCCTCTTTACTTAGTAAATGTGACTTGTCCATTCACCTGGTAGAAGTGAGTCCCAAACTCAGTGAGACCCAAGCACAGATGCTGACAGGAGGGAAGGTGCAGTCAAACCCTGAGGATGAAGCTGCTTATATGAAAGGCATCAGCAAGACTGGAATTCCAGTTTACTGGTACAGAGGCATTCAAGATGTACCACAAGGTAAGGACCTTGAACATCTTGTTACAGCAATAGCATCCTCCCTCCATTTGCAGTTTTTGGTAACGGGACATGACACCAGCCTTCATAATGGGTAAAAAAGAAATTTTACATATTAGCTCCTACTTCATGTATGAGTCTAAAATGGGATCTTGACTCAGATCCTCATAGCCAAGTATCATAACTTCCTTTGGGGATAGCTACCCAATTTCATGTAGTATGATTTTTTTCTTTCCTTTGCATGAGACACCATTCAGTGGTTTTGTCTAAATAATGACTGAGGAGCTAATGTTGAGATACAGATCTAAAAAAATCATGCACTGGAAGCTGTAGCTAGCACCTCAAGTGTTCCCTTTAATGTCTCCAAGCTGGGAATAATAGTGATTTCCCAATGACATTAACTAGCTTAATGCACTACAATTTATAAAAAACATTCTAATTTTCTGCTGGAAACTGCTATGGAAGCATTAGTATGGTAATGCATTTATTTTAACCTTCCCACAGGTTACAGCTTTTACATAGCACATGAGTTTCTGGATGCCCTGCCAATACATAAGTTTCAGGTATAGCAAGAGGAATACCGTAAATGTGACCATCAACTTAAAGGCCTCTGCTGAAGAACAGAATTATGGTGCCAAAGGGAACACATGCATGGATTATGGTGATAAAATGTTTGTAACTAAGCTTGGACAAATAAGAGCTGAACCAAGCCTTATGTTAATTGTTCTTGAATGCAAAAGCCTTTTAGAAACCTAAAGACTTGTTTTTACTTCCATAAATAAACTTTTTTTTCCCTCTATTTCCTTATGCTACATTAATAAGGCTCCAATTCCAACATCATTGTATGTGTCACTGCCAACAAAGACAGTACACTGGATGGCTTTCATTTGAACAGCAAAATGTTTTCATTCACTTTCATGTGAATAGCAAAATGAAGTCTAGATATGGTTCAGAAGAACCTTTCAACTTCAATTTCATAATTACTTTATGAAAAGTTACTGATAGAATTGTTTTGGTAAGTTAACCAGTGCACTGTCCATAGAAGAGGCAGCATTCTTCTCAACAGCATCATTTATTCTGTTTAATTAAACCTGTACTTATTAAATCTTCAGACCCATTTCTACCGCAAGCATTTCTAAGGCAGTTTCTGGAATTAAATAGTAATGAATTATTGTTAATAGCACATTATGTGCTTAAAACTTGAGAAAATGCTTAGCATGTTAGTCCAATCAAATAAGATTCCGTGTACCTACTAAGAGTGTAAAATGAGTATTCTGGGCTTACTAAACAGAGAACAGAGAAAGGCTGGCGTGAGGTGTTGGTTGATATAGATCCAGAGGCTCCTGACCAGCTCCGATTTGTCCTGTCACCATCCAGTACCCCTGCAACAGAAAACTTTATTCAGGTAAGATTATACCAGTCAGTGTTCATAACTTAATCATTACTCTTTCAAGTCATGTACTACCTGTCAGTTACATGGACTGAAAGAGGAGGCTTTTCAATCTATTAACAAGTAAACAGTTCCAGTTTGTATTTTACAAAACTTCCACCAGCAATTCAACCTTGTGTGCTGTGAATATATAGCACAAAAATAAACTTGTACATCAAATTTAGCAAAATCAGGGCTTAAGCAGACACTTCAGAGAGGCAGCAAGCAGCAAAGAGTTCTGTGCTGCAGTTGTCATCTCACCATCTCAATACCAGCCCTGCCTAAGCCAGGTTCTCAACCTGCTGCGTACAGGTGCTACACTGATCTGTAATGGCAAGTGTCTAAGACTTTCTTTTCCTTCTAAAGTTCACTGGATTCTTAAACTTATAAAATGAAGTAATAGAGATGTAAACCACCTACAAGATTTTACACAGAAAGGCTCTTTTGAAGTGTGTGCATGGAAGAAGTGCTATTCTTTCATTGCCACAGTAATGCAGTTTCACCCAATGCAGGTATTCTCACTTATTATAAAAACTCATTCCAGTTGACTCTGGGCTGTACAAGAGATGAAAGAAAGAGAGAACTCTGAAAGCACTAATTGGAAGTGGCCATTATCAAAAACTAGCTCGAGCAATAGGCAACCTGGAGTATACCCCTGGACCTCCACACCCAAATAATGACAACAGTTCCAAGAAGTCAAGTGTGAAAAGTTCTTGCCCTGTACCTGTTTGCTAATACAGGTGTTTTGATGTTTGAACTCTGCACTAGCCTGAGGAAACGAGAGATCACGTGGAAGTATGTCCCGAGGCCGGTGTCCTCATTCAGAGGCTTGCCAGTCGCATCGAAAAGGATGGTGGGGCCGCACTGATTGCTGATTATGGTCACGATGGAACCAAAACTGACACTTTCCGGGTAAGGCATTTTCCCTGAAGTACTGTGCTAAAACACTCAGTTATTTTCTCTTTCTCACTTGGATCGTTAAGTTCCTGTACGAAAGGTCTTGGGTGGACATAATCACAAAAACAACAGTGTTACGCTGCAGCCACAAAAGTGAGTAACTGATTTTTCATTTCATCAGTACCTGCAGGGGTTTCTATCATATGGGAAGGACAACTTGAGCCCTTGCTGCATTTACAGCTTTACTAGACCCAGTAGGAGTACAGCTGAGTGTAATCTTCCAATTTTTCAGGGTTTCCGGAATCACAAACTCCACGATGTGCTGAAAGCTCCAGGTACAGCAGACCTGACAGCAGATGTTGATTTCAGCTATCTTCGAAAAATGGCACAGGGAAAAATAGCCACATTGGGCCCCATAAAACAACGGGAGTTTTTAAAGAACATGGGCGTTGACCTCAGAATGCAGGTACAAACTGTTTACAGGCATATAACACGCTCCTAAGCAATGCTCTTAAGCAGAAACAGCTTCTTTTCAAATCAGATTTCTGTTTAAAACTACTTGTAGGTCAAAGAAAGAGTTGCTTCTCCTAGACATAAGTTATTCTGGATCTCTCAAAGTGAATTGATCATACTATGTTTAGGAGTACTTAATCTACGCAGCCAACTTTTGCATTAATGTGTGAGTTCTGCCAGCAAGCTCACAAGTTTTACTGAACACTGGTACTGCTATACTAGCATAAAAGACAGGATTGAATGAGAGATTGCAGGTACCCGGGAATTTGTAGGAACGCAGGGAGGGCTATAACCTACCTTTTTGTTGTAGGTGCTCTTGCAGAATTCACGCGACTCAGCAACTCGGGAGCAGTTACTCCACAGCTATGATATGTTGATGAACCCTAAGAAAATGGGAGATCGTTTTCATTTTTTTGCCTTGCTGCCTCATCACAGACTTACACCCCCTCACAAGGAACATAATCTGCAATCCAAGTCCCCCCTCCCACCTGTTGCTGGATTTGGTGAGCTCTTACTGAAGTAATATCGATTGCAATACCAAAATGTCTGATAGTGGCAGCTTCCAGTAGCAACCTATTGAATAAAAAGAGTAAAAGAAATCAAAGCCTGTGCATTTTTTGGTTTCAAGTATTAAAGCTCTTGCAATAATATAATCGGCACAGAAGTAAGCATTTGGAGTGATCTTTGAACTGAAAGCACGTGAAACATCATGCTTTCTCCAGGCAGTTTTCCTCACACCGATCTTTCACAAAGCTGATAGGGAAATCACTACACTTCAGGGCTTTGGGGCATTTTGGTAGAGCATGCTTCAAGGGTACAGCTAGTGCCAAATCAAACCTAGACACTGACCTACTTAAAGCAGTGCATGTAGAAATCGAAAACTCCACATCTGGAAATGGGTGTGCACAGAGGGGAGAATGAACATTTCATGGATCTTACCGTAGAGCTAAGGGAAGTATTCACTGATGCAATCCAGTTACAATTTGTCGGTGACAAATCTGCTCTGAGACTTTAACTGTATTCAGCAGAGGAATCTTGCTTAAAACAACACGCCTTGATGCCACTGAAGATTCTTTTTCAATAAATAGACTGATAATAGGAAGAATGCAAAAACAGTTTTGTGTGAAGGTACCTGCTAACAGAAATCCCATAGCAGGGTATACACCTCATGCCAGACAGAGCCCCAAACAAGTATGAAAAAATATTGACTTTGAGAGCATCTGAAAGGAGGGGGAGTTCATGTAAATAAGGAGAACAAATGTGATAGGGAAATAAATTTTATTTTCAAGCTTATCAGAGGATATTTACAAACAACGGGATGTATAAAAATATAAAAGTACTTGACAGTGTCCTTTTGAGGCTATAAAATTTTACATGAGCTTTTTTCTAGCATCATCATAGCACTATTGAATGAACGCAACTTAATTCATCTAGGGATAAGGATATTAAACACTATAACCTACTGCTGTCAAAGGTTGCAGTAAATGTAGAAAAAAGGGAATAAAAAAAGTCAGCTATTTTCATCCATCAGTGAAGAAAGTTTACTTCTGGTGGGTATCTGATTTTTTGTGGTTCTTGTACTACTAGCTTGTGGCTTCTATTGTCTGGCCCCACAAGTCTGCATATATTGTCAGGCAATCCACTCCAAAGGCCAACAGCTTTTTATTTTTTTATTTTTTAAATACAACTTAAGAATAAATAGCGCATATAACTTCTTGAAGCACAGAGCAGACTTCATGGGGAGAGACATCAGCCAGGCCTTTTATTTTTTTTTAATTGTACCCCCTTCTTCTGCATTGTGCTTTTCAAGCAACTGAGCTGGCTTTTTTCCTCCCTTAAAAATAAAAGGAAGGAAAACCTGAAGTGACAGCTCAGGTTCGAAATCTGAAGCTTAAAACCAAACTGTATCTACACTATTACAGTTGGAAGATAGCAATGGCTTCACCGAAATTTGGTCACTTGGGTGGTAAAAGTTAGAAAAAAAAAAAAAAACACTGCTTCCCTTGCCACCTGGGCCAATACTAGACTACCAACTTCATCGATGATTGTTCTGTCTCTATAGATTAAAAAAATAGTGCCTGTCTGAGAAGAATCAGTCCCAAAGCTTCACCTTAACACAATGGCAAGGTTAAGGGACAAATTCTGCCCCTTTTGAATTCCTTTATATTGCTCTGACAGCGTGAAAGGGGAAGCATGACTCCCCAGTGCAGGAGTGGCACGGACCAGGCTGCCATCAGGCAAGTCCCCTGCACAAACCTGAGAAAAACACATGCTGGGAGAGAGGGCAGGATGGCAGGACGGGTGGGAACGCTCTGCACCTGGGCGGCTGTAGAAACTGCTATGCAGGCTGCACCAAAAGTTTTGTGCAAAGCTCGGTGTATCCTAACAGGGAAACCAAGCTTCAGCTTTAATCAACTCAGATACATACAAAATGTGGTAGCAGTTAGATTAAGGGCAACCAGAAAAGGAAGGGTGGGTTCAAGACCCAAACCTGCCCACGGGCACATACTTCTGCAGCTGCTGCTGCCTTTACTGCCAGTTCAGTGACTGCAAACAGCTGCCAGCCCCAGAATTCTAAAATGTTACGGGTTTCTAACAGCTTAGAAAACATCTGCTCACCTATTTCCTTACCTGAACAACAGTAGGGAGAAAAAATAATACTCATCTACATACACAAAAAAAAATTTGTTAGGAGAGAAAGGAGCTACCCCAAGGTCGCCTACTACCTTTGCAGTTCAAGCCTGTATCAGTATTTTAAAAAGTATTTTAAACCAAGCTCCAGTTAAGCAGCTTGGCACACCAGGGATACGTACAGCCAATCCAGCACCTTCCAGCAGCACAGATCAGTTGTTCCCGCACAAAAGATTTCAATTTTTTCCCATTTTTAAACAGGATGGGGAAAAAGAAAAAAAAAAAAAAAAACAAAAAAACTCTATCTGCTTATCATCCAAGGCTTCAAACCTCCTTGAAATACGAAGAATTTTGTTACACTATCCTCCTAAGGAATCATTTCCAAAGATCATTGCTGCTTCCTCTCAATTGTGCCACAAAGTCCCGTAAGTGGCTGGGAATCCATCAAGCAAAGCATCTGCAAAAAAAACTGAATTAGAAGTTGGTTTTGGATTCTTCTTTCAGCTCAGAACAACAAAGCTGAGCACAGTGAAGAGAATAGGAGGGGCTGCAGGTAAAGATTGGAAGGCAGAGCCCTTTCTCTTACAGTCCAGCTGCCCTGGCAGAAGCAACAGGTAATTTTGTCACACCTAGGTTTAGAACAGAATTAAGGTATAAGCTAGCAGGCTACGAACTAGTCCTGATGCAAATCCAGGGAACCTTAAAAAAATTAGAAAAATACTATAAAAATTTTCAATTTAGTTATTGAAAAACAACAGAAGAAAGCTGCATGTATTTTTCCCTATTTTTCCACATCCTTCTGCTAGAAACTTTTTCCAGAGTGAAAGGATATGCTACATTAAGTCTCGCGCTCTCTCTGCACTGCTTGTGTGGTTTTAAGGCCAAATGCCTTTGGTGTGCATCTACGACATGTGCCAGCCTTGCACAGCAACACACTGTTGTGGCTTATTGCTCTTCAAGACAAAATAAAGGACTAGCACAGCTTTGATTGTCGTCTCTTTAGATTGTCAGTCAGCATTTCAAGAGGAATGTAAGAAGTTACAGGATTTTCTTTCTTTTTTTTTTTTTTTTGGTATCTGGAAAAAGTTCAGTTAGGGCAAAGACAGACATAACGTAACTGTCTTAACAGCAGCAAATTACTCCTTCATCTCTGAAGCCATATTCAACCCTAAAACACGTTCTGCTATTAGCCAAGGTATTCTGCACTGATTTCCTTACACAACGTCTTTTCACAATGCAGTCTAAGAAATGGGAGATGTATCTAAGTAACAGAAAACAGTCCTCTATGGCCTACTAAATAGGGATTAGGAAACCATTACAAAATTCTTACTGTGTAGGCTACAAAAAAAAAAAAAAAAAAAGGAAAAACACGCAAACCATTCAATCTGTACACATTCCACTTCGGTAATGGCTCTGTAGCCATACAACTTGGTGTAATGTTACCCAACGGGGCTTATCTCACTGTCCAGTAACTACTCAGAGTTTAAGTCAGAGATGGAGTAAAGCTTGTTGGGTGACAGTCTATCCCCAAGTCAATGCAGGATCCTCTGAGACTTTGTACACTGCGCTGTGTGTACAACATTCAGAAAGAGCGACAGTTGTTCCAAAACTTATCTTCAGTTTCTGTCTGGAGTGTTCATCTGTGCTGGAATTCAGCAAAACAAATAAATCAAGGGTCTTCTTCCATGTCATCTGGGTTAGGAGCCATAATAAAATGCTGGGGGTACTCAAGGTTGTGTTCATACGCATGTTCTTTCCAGCGTGCATCATCACTCTCATGGGTAATGTAACGCTCTCCGATGCGTGTTTCAAATTCTCTGAGGTCAAGCCAAGTCTGATAATCCTAAGGAATAAAATATTCAAAGAAGCAGTTTAAGAAACAGAAGTCCTATTTTCCCAAAGATAAAAATACAGAGACTAACTGCAGAATTTAATGTAAATAACCACAAGATACAGCCAACAGGATCTGTTTAAATAAAAAGAGCACATCAAAAAAAGAGTTCAAAATGAAATAGGCTAGTGTCCAAGGCTGTAACACTAGAAATTCTGAAAACTCTTTGTAGCAAGACAGATATGTGAGTTTTAAATTAAAACTAATGGTATACATACACATACATCAAGTGAAAATATTTCCAGTACAGTTTGTACTCAACATTAATTAGATTTTCCCCTTAATATCTTTTTAAATTGTGTAATGTATTTTAAGTTATTGAACAAATTCTATTTCAATTCTCTTCTAAAATGACTACAAACTATAGCACACACTAGCTTGTGAATTTCCTTCAGCATGGAACAATGCTTTTCTCTATCCTGTTTTCAGTGGGGCTCTGTGCATTCCTCACTGTCTGCATTCAGAAGCAGCAGAAAAATGGACGTGTCTGTTAGCATCAGGCAGGGAATAAGAAGGAAAGGGGAGGGAGGGCAAGGAAGGGTGAATAGTTTTCCCTGAAAACAAAGCCATTAAGAAATGGGCACAATCCTGGAGCATGGAAAATATTAAGCTAAAAACAGATATACTCAAGTCTCCATAGTTGTTTGTTAAGAAGCAGTAGTAGATACAGTTTTGATAAGCAGTTTGATAAACACATTGGATTTAATCCGAAAATCACTATTCAACCATTATAAGCATAGTGATAAAGGCAAATCATTTTACCTGTAACCACGGGTGACTAAGGGATTTGTCAACACTGAAACGTTTCCTCATCTTCACTTGAAGCAAATTGTTTATTAAATCAATGGCTGTCAAAGAAGAACAAAACAATTACATTCTTTAAATACTAATCAAATCTATCATCATTCACACGTTGCAGTGAAAGTGAAGTGTGTGTGTCCTACTGAACTCTTACAACAAATCAAGCTCCCAAATTTGATTTTTACCTTTGTTTATGTTAAACAAGGCCACAAAATAGGAATGGGGTAAACTTTTTTGTTGTTGGCATTTTCCCCCCTTTGATGTAAACATTGAAAGCTTTTCAGAAGCATCTAAACAAAGCTTGAGCATAATCCTATGTTCCAGAATTATGTAGGTACTTCCACTATTTGTATAATGATGTGCCATTTTCACATCTACCTGTGTTAATCATATATACATTAATAACAACAAAATTGGTGTTAGAGAGCTCTGAAGACCAACTTCGTAAACTTCTAGATTGTTCAAAGCTGACATTTAGATCCAGGTTTTGCTTTGCTTACTAATGTACAATACTGAAACTCCAGATTCAACTTCAATTTTTTAGATAAAATATGTTTTAGATACTCACTGAAGACTCATGCAAGATTTAACTTTCCACTGGGATTTCTGAGGGGTTTTGGGCCATTGATCCAACTCCCCAAACATGCTATTAAGTCATTACATCAATTATTCTTGCTAAATCTATTGGCTCCTTCTCTGAAAATGATTTAAAACATGGTATTTGACATTTTATCTTTCAGAAAAATATGCCAGCTTAAATTTAGCCATTCTGGCATAGCCAGCAGAACCCAAACTATTAATAATGTTTGCACTCCTGTCTCAGTAAAAGTTGTGGTTTAAGTATTTGAATGCATTGTCTACACATAAATACATAATAAAGTTTGTTTCTTTACCTTCGCTAGAAATTTCCTTCCAAGGATTTGGTGGGTACATAAATGCTGCATTTTGAATCTGATCATTTATATCCTCATCTTCATTAAATGGGAATGTACCACTAAGGCTCACATAGACAATAACTCCAACCGACCACATGTCCAGAGAGCGATTGTAACCTTTACTCCTGAGCACTTCAGGGGCAAGATACGCAGGTGTCCCCACCACAGAGCGCCTGAAAGATTTTTCACCAATGATACGAGCAAAGCCAAAATCACACAGCTTTACCTGCAAAAGAAATAGGTTTTGAACTGAGAAATCTCTGGCTGATGTCTGAAGTGTACTTCTACCCCCATCACATCCTCCAAACCCCCAAAGAGAAGTCAGGAAACAATTATTCTTTTAATCTTCACTTACTTGAGGGAATGGCTCTGCTGATGCTAGTAGTACATTTTCTGGTTTTAAATCACAGTGCACAATATTCTTGAAGTGTAAATTCCTCAAAGCAACAAGTATCTTTAAAAAGGAGATAATATTTTCAAAACAGAGAAATGCAATAATTCGTATCAACATAGTATATACGGGTTAATTCTTGAAGACCGTGCAAGTACTATTTTTTCCAATCAATAGGCTGGAACTTAAGTGGAAAAAAATGTGGAACTGATGGTTTTGTGTTGTGGTTTAACCTGCTAAAAATTTTTGATTTTCTTTTAAAATGTATTTTTCCCATCCCTATCTATCTTTTTGAATACCTAGAGTTTTGATGTGCATCTCTGGATACCCACAACCTTAATCCTTAGGATAGAAGAACAAAAAATTAGCATTCAAAATTCTTTCCAGGTTTATTCAACTACTTTTAGTAGGTGGGGCTGTACATCTCTCTCTTTCATAACTACACAAAAAATCCTTCTCCATTCCTACATAATTATAGAAGACATATCTAGCCTTTCATCTCCAGGAAAAATGACTGAATACCAACCTGAGTGACCATGAACTTAGTTATTCGTTCTGGAAGTCGACTTTTCTCACTGGAGAGAATCATCTCTAGCATATCACCATGCAGCTTTTCCATCACAACAAAGACCCGTTCTGGGGTTTCAAACATACATTCCAGGTTCACAATCCCAGGGTGATGCAAATTCTAAAATAAAGTAGTAGAGGTACAGAACTAAAATAAAACAGCATGAAATATTCTGAATTACATAGAAATAACATACCACAGATCAAAAAGTAGCTAAGTGGAGAGGTAGAAATTAAAAACAAAGTGTCAGAGGCAAGAAATGAGCTTGAAACATACACATCAGCCTATGAAACGTGCCATCTATCACTACTAAGACTAATTTATTTTAACACAACTTATCTATAATGATTACTTTTTAAAGTTGATACTGTTTGTAGTTTCACTGCAGAATATGCAAAAACACCACTTAGACTAAGTGGCCGTTAGCAAAAAGACAAACATTTTCCTTTTGCCTGAAGGACATGGCTTCAGTGGATTCCCCATACGCAGTAGATACCAATGCCAAGTTATCAACACTACCAAATGGTCAGGAGTTCCCCCAATAAGAAGATTCTTTCTTACAAAAAGACTCAGAAATCACACATACAGATTTAGACATCAATTTAGAGCACCTACACACATTACAAAATCTTAGGAATAGCTGATTTGACCCAAACTCCAAAACCATACTAAAATATCTTGGTACCTGGAGAATGGCTACTTCATTACGAAGCTGACTTTCCTGCTTAGTTGGAAACCTCATCTTGTCAATGACCTTGATAGCTACATCTCTTCCAGTCTTCCTGTGCTTTCCTGAACAGAAAGTCAATGTCAGACATCAAAAGGCAGAAATAATTCACAGCTATAAAACAGTACAGCAAAAGTTCCTTTCTGGAGAAACAGATCTATTTAGTACAAAAGTACAATATCACTATATTTGTATTTAAAACTGCAGCTGGCATGTGAGTAACTAGGAGTGATCAACCTTGATAGAAGGGCTGTGGATAAATTTAAACTGGCTCTCAGATATACGCATTGACGTTAGATGTATTAGTTGGAGGTTTTCCTTGTGTAAGGGACTCATACATTATGACATGCTACCTACTTGAGAATTTTGCCTCTCTTCTGTGTTTAAAAAAGTCTTCAGTGGTTTCAGTAAACACCTTTATGGGCTCCATGTGCACAGAAGTTACACCTAATATTCTGCAGGAACTGCAGGTAATTATGTGCCATGAAGAAGAAAAGGTTAACACCCAGGAGGTGGTCTGTTGTCACCAAAAAGCTCTGGAAGTTTATAGTTTAAATAAAGAGTTGATAATGCTGATAGTATCCCTGCTGCAGCCTGCACCAGCTACATAAGAATACACATAAGAATACATACGTAAGAATACACAGGATGTTTCAAGGGCTATTTGGGTAGCTGTAAATGCTCACTCAGCTTCCCCGTAACTACTAAAACTGTTTCCTCTCACATTCAGATCAGAGAGATTAATGGGGACACATGCTGGAAGACCTTGATAATTTAATACTACACTAATACAGATCAAGTGAACCTGTGTACCAAGGAAAAAGAAAGCAGTTATCTGCACAGTGACACATCTGGAGGCCATTTCAGAAGGGATGATGCACACAGCTACAGCACAGGGCGGCACAGGGGATTGATTCTGCCATCACAGCTAGAGGCAGGGCTTTGGAGAGCCTGGTGATACCTTGTCACTGACCCTGACAGGCCTCACCTGCTACTCTGCAGTCAGTACTGGTGGCCAGCGTTTAGGCTGGGCAGAGGAGCTGTTCCTGAAGGCTGCTGCATGGAGCAGCTCCTGTTCCTGCCTTAAAGGCTTAAAATCAGGCTTATCTCCACTGGAGGAAGTGAGGCAGTGATGGAGACATCACTCAAGGACCAGAAGGGTTAACAAGGTTACCAAACAGAAATAGCAGAAATACCATCAGAAAACAAACACAAGGTTGCAAGAGAACATAAAACAAAAACACTAAACTAACAAAACACTTAGCCACAGAAGCTAAAAGAACATGAAGAAAGATTTACAGAAAGGCAGCCTGAAAATTCCTTTCCTGATGTCAAACTATCCCACGTTTCAGGGGAAGTTTAACATCAGTTAGAAACTGCCTAGAATTTCTCCCCCCCACACCCCTGTAAGTCTCCATTTTTCAGACCTTTCAAAATGTGCTTAAATAGAAAAAGAAGAGGGAAACTATTCTCACAGGAAGAAACACCAGTTGGATGCTAGCTAATTTTTTGACTTACAGTTTGTAAAAGAGCAATGTTTGTCCAGAAGAGGATGGGGTGAGGGGGAAAACAACAAAGGAAGCAACAATGTTACCCTTGTATTGCTTTCAATAACAGATTTTGTTATTACTATTTCACTAATTGTATAAAGGTGGGGAGAAGACAATGCAAAGTTACCAGATACAGTCTCCCCAAACAGCAGCAACAATTAAGCGCTGTGGAGAGCCAGAAAAAAATGTAAGATTATATTCCCTTGTTCTTTCAGCTTGTGATTGTATCTTAAGAAACTGAGTGTGCATGTCCTATATGTTTTGAGACATCATTAAGTGAAAAAGATTGAATATGATAAAAGCTTTTTATATAAGTATTTACGTATGTCATTTCATTGAATTGTGAAAAATACCAAGCTGAGGTTTATCTAAAATGAAGTTTAGGAAGTATATATGGAGGTAAAAGGAAAACATTAAACTACTGTCTGCATTTATGTACATTCTTTTCATAAGAAAAGAAGCATAATTCAATTCACAATATGCTTTAGGAAATCCAAGCTGGGGCGCAGGGGGAACATGGCCTCTCAAGAATGATGTAAACTAGACCCTCAAATTGTATTTCCATCAAACAGTACTAAAGTAATAGAAAAAAAGTATTTAACTACAATATTGGCTCACAGAAAAATCATAGCCACAATATTTCCTGACTAGAAAGACAACATGATAGAAACAGAAAGGTTCCCACTGTTAAATCATTAGTTGTCCTTTTTTATTCCTTTACAGATTTAGTGTTGAGAAAACCACAAACCGTAGAGAGGCAATATATGGTATTTATAAAAAAAAAAAGAAAACGAAAAAGAAATAGAGTTCACACAATATATTTCTTATATTTCTTCTCGTCAAGCTTATACACTGTAAACACATTATATGTTGCAATGGAATGTTTTAAATAAAAAAGTGATAAAACTACATAAAGTCTAAAGCTGAGAACTCTTGACAAAGAATCCCTCTATTTTTTCCTGCTGACAAAAATTTGTATAAAATTGTCTGCATAAAGTACTGTGAAAAGCACAAACTAAAACATGTTTTTCTAATTGCTTTCCTCGACTTTTCTCAGATATCTATAAAAATACCAGTACCATGGTATTATAAAAATACCAATATATATCAAAATACCAACAGCCTCTTGAAATACATGACTTCTTACACGGTATAATACAGTCCACATGGGCTAAATTCAGACTAGAGATTGCTTTGTTTTTAAATGTGGTCAAAACACAAAAATCCCAAACTGATTTTTTTTTTTTTATTTAGAGTTTTCTAAAAACTCCATCAAAAAGTAAGAAATACTATAAATAAAACCTCAAAGACTTAACCACAGTAACCCAAAAAAAACTTCTAACAAGCTAAACTTCACCTAGACATTCTAGATACAGCTAGGCAATTATGAAAATCATAAGCAGTCACTCTATCTCAAATAAATGCATAATGGAATCTAATATAATTTACCTCCATATACTATACCAAACTGACCGGAACCCAGCACTTCATCAGCAAATATTTGGTACACAGAGCTGATATCCTAAGGCATGAAAAGAAAAAATCACAAGTTATCAGGCATAATCAAAGCACTCACGAGCATATTACTTAGTACAGGCTAAGCTGTTCTTAAGTTTTACAATAAATTACGTAAAGGGTACCATCATTACCCCAAATAGAATGGGGAAAAAAGCAGAAACTTTCCTGGAGTGGTTTCACTTAACCACATCTTATACAGGGACATATATTACAACCAACCAGCTGTGCTAGGTAAGTGGATTACTTCCCATTAGGTATCTAATGCAGACTTCTGTAGCTGCAGTACCCTGGGGTGTTGCTTCCTCCTTCAGATAGTATTATCAATTACTTTAAAATACCCAGTTAAATGAACACCGTTATTATTACAATGCATATGACTCACCACATTCTCCTGGACCTGGCAATTTGAAACAGAGATGCTTAGGGATAACTCTTCTGTAATAAAAGATATAACAAAATAAGGAAAGTTAGGCTTTTGATAGTGAGAAGGAAAAAAAAAAAGACCTTTATTGACTTCTAACCCAGTCACAGTGAAACGATTTTTTACTGATGTTTTGCAAAAACATCATACTTGGAAACTCAAATTTCACACATTGATTGGATGAACAACCCTGGGAGTTTAGCTGGGATTAACTGTTCATTTCTGTCATATCAATGATTATAAAAACAGTATGAGTGTGTACAAAATACAGAGCTGGAGAATCGAAAGCAACAGTGATGTGGCAATCGCATCAGAATTCAATGAACTACTAAGAATTCTGGTAGTAATTTAAAAAAATATAAGAGGACCAAGTAGATCCTCTGTAGTCAAATGAATGTGGTTACAGATTTTCTGTAGCTTTAAGAACTGATGTATAAGAAAAGGAAATAAATCAAGTAAAGCAAGTAACAGAAGACTTGATAATTTAGGAAAACAGTAAAACCCACAATGTAAGCAAAGTATTTCATGGATAAACTACAGAAGCCTTTCAATCCTGGGAATTTCAGAGCACATCTTGAAAGTATACCTTGCAAATAAAAGCAACAGAAAAAGATGTATAATTTATTTTCAGCCTACAACTGATGTTGACAAAATTTTCATTCCAGGAGTAACATTAGGATGCACAGACAAGAAGAGACGCATGAAGGCAGAAAGAATCTTTTTCCTTTGACTTCAAGATACAGGTCAAGCATTTCAGAAAATGGACACCTACTACTCATAATGCTAATTTTCAAAAAAAAAAAAAAACCACTACTTCATAGATGAGGTGAATACAGAGTACACTACAGATTTACTAGCACTTTGAAAAGAATCTTTATCACCCTAAGAAGAGCTTTGTGTTTTAGAACCGGTTTCAGAGAACAAAGAAAATGTACCTGATTTTTGTCACCTGTACCTTACCTCAAAGAAGGAATTTACAGACTTAAGAGAGCAACAAATAGTAGTTCTCAAAGGCACTCTAAACACTGCATCTGAACTACCAATTGGAACTACAGCTCTGCATATGTCTAGTGATTACTGCCCTCTATTTGAAGATCACAGAATCACAGAATTTCTAGGATGGTCAAGTCCGTATTGTAACGACAACACAGAGCACAAGGGAAAACAAAGAAACAAAAAAACACAAAGGCATACTAAAAAGTGACTAAGGGCAAATTGCAGCAAAGTTGAAACAAGTCAACTATTAAAAAAAAAATTAAGATACGCTTTTTGAAACTGTTTAAGGGAACAGCCTGAACCCTTCTCCACAAATGGCTACAGAACACAAAATACCTTCTTCCTCACATTAGGTACAGATTAACTTACTCCAAGCTAGTTTTTTGAAATGTCCAAATTGCACACGAGTAAGGACTGAAATGCTGACATCTCTGAAGAAAACAGTAATGCTAGAATTCAGCATGTAATTTATACCATGTAATAGCTTACTGAACTGTTCCTCTGCCTTTAATCTGTCTGCTCCCTTTTCAGCTCAGAAACGTCCTAAAAAGAAACATCCTATCCCAAACACCAGGTAAAGGGTCAGAAAGGATTCTTTCTAATGGGTCAGACTGGAAGAGTATCCTCATTACTAATTGTTTGCTGGCTAGAACATGGTATAAATTGACTATCTTGTGCCTCATGGACGTTTTGACACTACAAATTGCAACTGTGTTTGCAAGACTCTCATCAACAGTAAGCTTTAGGTTTTAAAAAACAGGTATGTATGTGTTTGAAAGTAATATTTCCCTATCAGAAGTGGCATATCACTTAAGTTCATGGCCTGTTTAAGACACCTTCTTGCAAATGTTTCTTTGCAATAATTAAATAGAAATACCAAGACTACCATTTCATAGTTTACCACTGCAGACCATGATTTTCAAAAAGTGCCTTTACCTACGATTAGCATTTACATGAACTGAACTGTTGCTGATGCAGAATAATGAGATACCAGAGAGAGGAAAACTAATCTCAGGATTTCCAGAAAAAAAATATACATCACCAAAAGAAGATTAAGGAATAGGTGGAAGATGAAAGGAAACTAAGGAATGAAAGCATAAATGCCTATACAGAACGTGCATGGATGTTGTTGCACGGAACAAGGAGATGTCTGAAGAGAAAGAGCACAGTGTGTGCTTCATAGAGCCTTGATAATGAATATGATCCTGCGCCAGAGAAAAAGGATAGCAGGGGCACAATATGAAGATTTTTTTTTTTAAAAAAAAACTACTACCTGCAGCTCAACATAAGTTCTTTCAATCATTTGCAGTTATCACAGTTCAGCACTAACTCCTTTCCTTCTCCTTAGCTACAGACATTCTGCGATTTTATTTTCTAAACATAGGTGACAATATCAAATAGCATCCAATTTATGCATATATATCATCTAAAATAAATATACATATGGAAGTTTATGTTAGAAATATCTAAACTATAGCCCCTTTTTACAACCAACAACAACGTGTGAACTCTCAATGCTCCTGTGATAAAGGTTTTATAATGTGCATTCATAGGGGAAATCCGATTCTTAACTACTACTTCCTGCTACAACAGGTAAGAGATTTGCCCATATACCCTCCGCAAACTTGAGTATCACTTCTTAGAAACTGGTGGAAGATTATGGACCCAATTCAGCAGAGAATAGACAAAAATACTCCATTCTTCGTAAGAACTTTTCTGAAAAGGAATCTGTAATTTACAGCTTCAGAATATGAGTAATAGCGCCTTGTCTGCCTGCTTACTGTGATCTTTTCCTTGTCCTGCTGCAGTGCAAACGCTAGCTTGAGGAGTGACTGGCATCAAAGCCTGACGAATGGCTTTCTCCCAGCCCTGAGCTACGTCAAGTCCAACTCCGGTGGCAGCAAGAACAGGACTGTGATGACTGCTGCCATTGTTTTCGCCAACAAAGTACACCATCGTGTCAGTGATGATCTCAAAACAGTATGGGTTGCTGCCCTGCACCACGTTTGAAAAATCTCGAGGCTGAGTCACCTGGAGAATTTCTGAAAGTGGAATCTCCTGAAGAAAAATATTAAAGATGAAAAAAAATGAAAATGCATATAATACTTAAATACACTGATGTTCAGAACTTAAAAGTGTTTGCAGACAAATCAAAGCACATGCATGAAAATACCAAAACAAACAAAAAAAACAAACAAACAAGCTTTGTAACTGATGTCAAACTGTGGACAACCATCACCCTCCCACAGCTTTCTAAATTCCTGTATACATGCCTAGAAAGACTGTCAGCCCCACCACAGTGCCTTCCATACCATCACCATTCTCTTTATAACCTGCATTTATATTCAGCACGACACACTCCACACCAGCATACGAGCGATGCGCAGCTATGGAGTGACTATTTCCCTCCCCCTATAGTTTATACAGCTTAGCTAGAGAAGAACATGACAGGGAAAAAAGTGAAACAAGACAACATTAGGAGGAGGATGTGGTTATGTAAGCTAGCCAAAAAGCACTGCTTCATGTATCTGAATTATTTTTGGTAAAGATTCTCTTTCGTATAGATCTTAACTTCTTTCAGCTCCTCTACCTTGCCAGCTTAAGATCGTGGTACGAAGCAGTACAGAGAACAGATCTGAAGGAAAAAAAAGGTTGTAAGTTGACACTAGTTGGAGAAGGACATTCCACATGTATGGGAAGGCGTACAGGTGCACATCACTTGCAAGAGTAGCGAACAAGCAGGTGAACACCAGGCTGGCATTATGGGGTTAAAAGACAGCAGCTGATTCAGATGAAGAGCAAATAAACACAGAGGTAACAACTGGATTTTCTAACAGCAAAGACAAATAACCTAATATTTAAGCAGTAAAAAAGGGGCTCAAAGGGGCAAGTAAAAGGACTCAAAGCAGTGACAGGACGGAGCAACAAGCAAGGAACATATTTTACCAGCTGTGTTTTGAACGCACAGGGCAATACAAGGATCAGGGAGGTCTGAGAAGAAGAGACTGCAGTGGTCAAGATAGGGATGAAAAGGATCTGGGCAAGTTTAGCTGGGCGTACAGAGAAAAGGCTTGATCTTAGAGATGTTATAAGGGAAGAAGCTGCAAGATTTGGACCCCACCTAAAGGTGTAAGACGAGAAAGGGAAAAATCCTGTTTATACATTTCAAGACATTTTCTGAACATTCCACCACTGAACACATTAATATATTAGCAATATAACATACTCATTGCTAAGCTTCATTTATGCCAGGCTGCACAGTAAATTTTCCTCTAAATCTTACTTGTAACTTTTAGTTGTACAGTTGGGAATTTCATTTTGGGAACCAGAAAATAAAATATTTAAGCATGCAAACTTTCCCACACTTCTTACAGAATGCAAAAATCCTAGCCTTTAAGTAGACACACAGCCAAACACATCGCCTAGGAATTGCGAAGAAAGCTCAATATGCAAGGCAATTCAGGAGAACAGAACATGTAAAACATCAGAAGAGATATGCTCGAGGATTAAAACAGGAGCTGCAAGCAGCTTCAGAAAGTTAGTCTTGGTTCTTCCCACTTACGAGCTTTGGCCAAATTTTGACCTGTCACAGTTTTGATTAAAAAAAGATACGGAAAATTGAGGTAATACTTAGTATATTATTCATTGGGACATATTTCAAGTCCATAAAGCACCTGGAGTAAATCAAGTGCAACACAGTTATTACTCATCATTAAGTACCTTGTAATATTTTGTTCCAGATTCATTTTGAAACAGTGTGAGGCATTTGCTGTCCAGTCTCCAGTAATGTCTTTTTCTCTAGAAAATGCACAGTACAAAAAAGAATAAATCACTGACAGGACTTTATTTATCCAATTATTTAAATTAGAAATGCTTTAAACAACTATGATAATCAAGTAAAGTTAATCTACAGTTGCATCTTAGGCTAGACACATGAAAAATACTTTGGAAATGCAGGTTTTTTATGATTATTTCTTAAAACTCAAGAAGAGGCTCGCAGAAATATTTCCACAAACCAGAAAAAAATATAACTTACCTTACTCTGACAGTGGTGACAACAATTGTTACCTCCTACAGCAATCACCTACCTACACAAGTTTCACTCCAGGCATATGTACTCACAAAACCTGAATTATTTTCATTCAGTAACAATTATGGGAGCCATGCTTTCTCCTTCCATGCCCTCACAAGATCTCATGTATTTAAGGACTGAGCAAGCCTAGTAAGTCCTTAATCATTTTGTCAACACAAAATTCTAGAAGGTCAGAAGTGCACAGTGGCAAGAAAGACAAATTAGAAGACTCAGGTGGACAAAATATCTTGGGGGAAAAAAATAAAACAAAAATCAAGACAGACTAAAATAGCCATTTTCCAGAAGTCTCCACCAACAAGAAGTACCTTCTCCACAAAAAAAGCAATATGCTTGAGGCACATAACTGTCCAATAATCTTAAGCGCAGGAACATTCCTCAAAATAGAAAAGCATGTGAAAGCTAACATAGCCATATGGATCCAACTTACTTTGCTTGCACCATGTTCATATAGTTAAAAACATTATTTTCTGGAAGAAAAATCAAAGACCCCTAGCTCTGGCCTACGTTTACAACATTTAGAAACTTAATACCTTCATTAAAACCAAATGCAGAGCTTAAGTCATGGTGAAGCTAGGACCACCTGTAGGAGTTCAGCCAAGAAAGCTTGGACATGAAGAGATTTAACCTAACAGAATTCCAAGCCAGCACTGAATAGAAGCTGGGTGAAAGGATAAGGGTAAACCCATCCTTTTGACATACATGTATATGTGGTGGTTTTTTTGAAACGTAAGTCAGGGAAGACCTGTGGAGAAGAGTGTTTATGGAACAGGTTGGTAAGTACTTGGGGATTCAATATATGCTTATACTGCATACTGAGAAAGGAAGGGCTCTGAGCAAGGAAAACAAGAATAGAGCTGATGATGTGGAAACTTCTCCTTATGAAGTGTAAAATACATTGTTACCCATGGTCAGCAAGAAGTATAGGGATATTGCTGGTAAAACAAACATCTTTGGAATAGATGGAAAGCTAAAATCATATCAGGAATAAGGAATAGGCTAACAGTGCTGAGAGCAGAGTGATCAATTAATATATCTGATGTTGTAATGCTTAATACAAAAGCTTCCTCCCATTAGAAAGCTCTCTCAAATCTTGCCTGGCTGAAGGTACCTAGCTTTGGAACAGAATACTCTGTTTCATTTATACCACCTTTTTGGTAGCTATCATCTAGGTGGCAGCCAAACTGACAAATAAAAATTATCAAACTAAGGTAAGGTGTACAATCTGATCATTGAATCCACGGAAAAAATGTACTGACTGTACTGAAAGATTAAATCAGATCTGAATATCACGTCTACCCTGAACACTGCTAAAGCTACTCATCTTCTGTCTACCACCTGGTCCTTATTTCATAGCCAGCTGACTGGAGTGCTTATTAAGGAGGCTGGGCTGAAATATGGTAGATATTTACTTTGATTTGTGATAAATACACCTGGTTATTAGAAAACTGTGCTTTCAGGAGTTGGTTTGCAAGGCAGCTTTCGACAGACCACTTGTGGTGGTCTGTCTAGTTGACAACCAAAACAAGTAAAAATACTGCAGTAACCTGAGCTGACTAGTATCACGCCCTTAAGCTTGACTGCAACATAACTGAAATAAACCTTGCCTCTCTAAATTCCTGAAGTCTCCTTCTATCAGACTCCTGCATGGAGACAAAGAATACAATGCTGCTTTTCATGAACAGTTTCAATGTGACAAACTGGGTGTCATAAGCTCTGGAAACTTCTCGACTTCATATTTTTCATTCATCTACTGAGATGAATAAATTCACTCTCTCCCATCAGACAGCCAACTATCCTTCCTTATTTTCCTCATTAATATACAAAAACAAGGAACTTGCCTAAGAAGGTTTAAGAGATCATTACTGGTAGCACTGCAAACCAACATAGTCCTTGTGGAAGATGCTTGCATACCTAAGGACATGCAGCCAAGCCACAGATCTTTATTCCACTGACATGAAGAGAAATAGCAGGCTGGGGGAGGAAATGGTGTTCAGTAATACTTCTAAATAGAATTAATGCTAGAGGAATGAAGGGCTTCCATATCTACATATTACATTTACTCAATACCTTGATAATTAGAATATGGTTAACTGTTTAAGTACTCATCATTTTATAACAATTTTCACCTTTTCATGTAATTGAAAAAACTTCCAAACAGAAAGAAGATGTAAGGAAACAAATTATTCCAGTTTTGGGAAAGCTGAAATCTTAAAGATGCTATTCATTTGAGACAGTTCAGAGATGCTTCTCTTTCTAAAATGAAAAGTACTGAATCACCCCACGAAGGATTGTGAATGAACTACAGGTGCACCAGAATCCTTTCTAATGAAAACAATTGCTAAATTATGTCAGATGATACCGTAAATCAGCACATCTAGATAAATAAAATACACTGGTTTAGAGAAATAATTTAAGTTAATATAAGAAGAATCAAAGTCACTGACCAGATTGTCTCTACTAGTATAGTGGACCATCCATCCTTCCTTCACCATTGTACTGCTCTTCCTCTTTGTATGCTTGATGGACTGTACAACTCTCATGAGAGGAATATTATTGCTTGTTGAGGGACTAAAAAGATAGAACAGTTAATATTTAAATTAAAATACAACAGTATTGCAATTATAACAGTACTTGAACTATTGGCTAAATGTATAAAACAGGCACCTTCTCTTCCCAACTTTATCCCACTGATAGATGAAATTGATAAGAAATCTGGGCTCCCATTAGCTGTCCAAATGCAAGTATTGCAGTACTTAAGTGGCAATACAGAAAGACAAAAAGAAGCACAGTGGAATAGGGATAACCACAGAAATCATCCTCTCAAAACAATTAACTGGCCACTTGATTCTTAGCCCAACATGAAAATGATTAACATCAGCATTGTTATTACTTTCTCTTGCCTATATCAACTATATTATTATTTCATGATATTACACTAATAAAGTACACTTTCTCTTTATGAAAACAAACAGAAGTGCATTAATTCAAATCATACTAGAAAGTTTTATCAATGTTCATTGATATTAACTTTCCTGCAGGCAAGTGTATGACAGCCTAACATGTTGAAAGTCATTAAACAACAGGTGTTGATAGCATTCAGGGTAGAATATACCACCACATTGCCTGCTTAGCACCACAGCTCCTACATGTGGTGCTAGCCGAATGCTTTGCAATCACAGAAAATCATATGACAAATTCCAAACCAAAACATAAGAATGCTTTAAGATGGCACGCAGTTATACAGTAGAAGTGGCTGCCACAAGATGCTGAACGTGCTGAAAATTTAAATTGCTTCAGATGCAGTTAGAATTACATGGAAAAATCCTACCTAGAGGTGGAACACAAAAAAAAAGATGCTACTTCCAACTCAGGAAGTCCTTGAGCTATAAATCACTGAAAACTGGAAAGGTATTGTTATATGTGCTTCCTGTTCTTATACTCTTCCTTAAATATTTGCTATGAGACACTGGGCTAAAATCACCCTTGTTTGGCCTACTACAACTGCTCTTCAGTTTTTAAGAATGACTTAAAAAAAATCAGGATAACACTATTCAGAACAAGAAGTTTCCCAGTGACATGGTAGAATTCACATCACTGGAGGTTTTCAAAATGCGACTGGATAGGGTGCTAGATAATCTTATCTAGGTTCTCTTTCCCCCCAAAAAAAACATATAAAAGGTTGGACCTGATGATTTTTCAAGGTGCCTCCCAACCTGAGCTGTTCTATGATTTTATGAGAATACAGAAAGTAAAGAGGCCAAACCTCATCAAATGAACTACCGCTTGTAGTGTTCACGGGCAGACTGGACAGGGCTTTGAGCAACCCGATCTGGGGAAGATGTCTCTAGACCCCCCCTAGGCTGAAGTCATGAAGATCTTAATCATGTCTTAGCCTTAAAATATGACTTAGCCTAAAGCATTTTACCATGCTTTAATAATCTGGCTTATTTCCTGAATAGCAGTCATAGCATGGTACTTTCTCAGTCAGAAAAGACTACATTATTTCAATTTATTTATTTTTCAGATTTACTTGGGACAGGATAACTTTACAAAGCAGTTTCAAGTAAAAAAGACAAACATTAAGCAGTACAACTAGACTACTCAGAAATGTTTTATTCAAAGTTTTACTTCAAATATTGAGGAAAGTGCATCCAGAGCACTGAAATCCACTTTATGACTTACCTGATGGTTTTGACAGCTTCCTCATCTTTGTCTGCATCAAGGTCAGATGGATCCATAAAGAAGATTTTGTCCTCTGGAGGAGAGGGCTCCTCGGTGTCATCAAGACCCCGGCTACCATCACTGTTCATTTCACTGCTATCAACCTCCATTGGCATGTCCAAATCCTGGCCTGGGCTAGCAGGTTCTAGAAGCAACACAGGATTCAGATATTATTTCAAATATACAATTGAAAAAAATCATCTTCTCCAGTTCCCATTTATGCAAGTAAACATAATATTGCAATATGAATATACAAAATCCTCAAGTTTTTGCTAAATGATACAGAATATCCCAACAAATGTTGTCAATTTGCTTTTGCTTAATACGAGGGCAAGAGAAAGCCAACCAAAACAGCAGCCATATTGAAAGGGTTTTAGTGAAAATCTTAATGCGTACATCCACATCTCACTAAGTAACTCTGTTCCACAAGCGACTGGTACAAAGTGACCTCTTGATGGCTAGAGACGATCCAGGCAACTAATGCCTATGCAGATCAAATTCTTCATCAACAGAAACTCAACTCTACTCTCACTGCCCTTGCAGCCCATAACAACAAAAGAAAGAAAAGAGGGTGCTGTGGTACTGTAGAAGAGAAAAGCAGAACAGGTCTTATTCACATCTGACTCTTTGCTGGCACTTTAAAATTACCTGAAGTTCTACAACTTGCACAGTTGAAAACTAAGAATAAAAAGATATAAACACTTTCATCCACAGCCCTCTGTTGTTCTTGTTTGTGTCTGTGTTTTTTTTTGTTGTTATTTTTTGTTTGTTCTTTTTCTGAGAGCCCCATTTAACAATAGAAAAAAAAATAAAAAATTACCCAGACTTTAGTCCACAAGAGAAAAAATTGTCTGAAACTGTAGTTCCCAAATCACATACCCTAACACCTTAGCACCACAAGGGTGTTGAAAACAGGCTGCTGCAACAAGTTCAACATAATAGTTCACGGCCACCAGTCTCAAGACCCAGGCAAGAGCCTTGAAGCTGGAAAAGGCAAACACTAACGACGGGATATGCTGTGCAATTACAGCGGACCCAATGACACACAGGGCTGCTGCATAAGCCTCTGAATCAGGCTCTGCAATTCGGTGTGATCTGCTGGATATTACCAGTTTTATTCCCCCGAAAAATTACAAGTCCCAGGATTTTGGGCAGCACAATCACAGAATGGCTGAGATTGTGAGAGACCTCTGGAGCTCATCTATTCCAACCTTTCTGCTCAAGAAGGGTCACCAGGACCATGTCTACATAGCTTTTGAAGAAGAAAAGGAAATCAACAAAATTTCTGTCTCACTGGGCTCTCTCCAGTATGTTAATGTCTCTCCTATGAGGAGAGGCTGAGAGAGCTGGGCCTGTTCACTGTGGAGAAAGGGAGGCTCGGGGGATCTCATCAATGTACAGGAATCCCTGAAGGGAGGGTGCAAAGGTCAGAGTCAGGCTCCTTTTGGTGGTGCCCAGAGACAGGACAAAAGGCAACAGGCACACAAAAAATGGAACACAGGAGGCTCTATATGAACATCAGGGAACCCTTTTTTTTTTTTTTTTTTTTTTACTGTGCAGGTGACTGAGCACTGGCACAGTCTGCAATGAACAGTTTCCAGTGAACGAGATGATTAACAATAACTGTTAGTTTTTGCACATTAAGAAGATTTCTCAATTTTTCATTTTCTATGAACAATCACAATCAAGCAAAGCATACTATACTTGCCAAGACTGATTAAGTAAAATCAAAGCCACCAAAATAAGTTTTACAGTCAGTCTTTTAATTGTCAACAAACTCAGGTGAAAAAAAATGGGAAAGTAAAATAAAAACATGCAAAAATATTCAAAAACGAGGGCGTCAAAAGCTGAAATGTTTCTCATCTTACCTCCATTGAAAGTCACCTCTCCAAGACAGTCTTTAGGCACTTTAGATGCACAACGTTTGTGACAATTGAATCTGCAATCTAAAATAGAAGATAAATAAGCTCAAGATACCAGGATTTCACTCCTCTTCAAGCAGACACTAACATACAATTGCGACTTCCTTCACAAGCTTCAGTCCAGATGCACATAACAGAAGACAGTACTGATGAGATCACTTCCAGAATTTATGATCTTGTCCTGATGTCTCATGATTTGTCCAACCACTGTTTATTATGTCAGCACTTCCCTTCCCAGTACAAAAGATTTTACTTCTATAGCTTTCCCTCTAGTTATTTTTTTTCCATTATGATGTAATTTTCCCCATCCTCTCATCTGTTCCACACCCTTTTTTTCCATTGCTACTTGTTTTAAATGTCTCATCTCTATCATGTTTCCCCACCTGCTGCTTAAGACTTGCAGCCACCATAGCCCCTAGGATCACACTCCTATACCACGGAGCAGGTATGCTTTGCAGTAAATCCCAAAGTTCAGTTCCCCTATCATTCAGGCTACAGATTTGGCCAGACATCAATGAAGTTCCATATCTGCCTGCCCAAATCTCCTTGGACACGTGGCTGACAGAATACTGCACATCCAGATCTGGCCTGATGTGGAGATGGAATATAACTTGGATGTGTGCCATTTCTGCATTTGAGGTATCAGATGCTGTCTTCTCAATAGTCCAGCACCCGTTAGTAGCATTACAGGAATTTCCTTTACTAGCAGCATCACTGTAATTTTCAACTGTGTATCCATATCATGAATTTTAAAGCTCCCTAGTGTCCCCACAGCTGTTTTCAAAGCAATAATTTAGCCCATTTCTGCTATCCGGAGAAAGTTCATCATGCTTTCCCTGTAAGTCCAAATAAGAAAGACATTATTCCTGGTTTAGTAGCTGAGTAGCCAAACCCTGGGGCCAGCTGCAACCTGGTTTAGCTTCTGAGTGCCTAAGAGGAAGAATTCTAGAAGACTAATAAATTGTCCTTTCTGTAGCAATGTTAACAGTCCATATTATTGAATACCGTTACTTCGCCAGTCTGAAGGAGGCTGGAAGAAATGGAGAAATTTCAGATCCTCCCAGGAAACTAGACAAACTAACTTATTAGGACTGACTTACTCTTGATGTCCAGAAAAATTTTTCAGTACTGCAGTGCAACTCTAGTCTAGTAAACAGCCACAATCCCTAACATGGTTTTAGCCTACGGCACTAGCACAGTCCCAAACAGTTCCCAGACCTAGTTCATAAATTAGAGCATCCCATGACATTGTTCCCAACAAGCCATCCACACGCAGCCACTCAGGGTTGGGAGGCTAAGATAACTTGGGCGTGAGTAAAGACCATTTTGTCCTAGTTGACCTCAGTGTCCAGGAATGTTCCTGGGCACATTTAATTTAATATAAATATAGCATTAGCATCCCAAAGATCATCTCACAGTCTAGAGTACAAGCCTCGATGAATTTAAGAAATGCAGGGCTCTCAGAGACACTCAAGAGAACATGAGACTGTTGCAAGACCCCAGACTTTGGGAATCTGAGCAAGGAAGTCAGTGGGAAACATTAAGAATCTGAATGACAAAGCAGTATAAAAATATTTTGATTGACATCAGTTACCAATATATTAAAAATACATATAGGATACAACTGCATAAATTAATGCCTATTAATATACTTATTTCTGTTCTCTAAGTTTAATACTTTTCTAGCCTCGTTTTCTATATATTAACAGTTTTCTGCCCAGTGTCATTCACTTTACTGAAAATGAAGTGTTAAGCCCAGTTTTACATAGCTTTATATACAATCACAAAAACTGTGTATGGTCACTGGCATTTAAAAGTTAAAATTGCAAAACATCTTTTACAGGCTTCATTATGACACATGTCTAAGAGATAGCGCAATTCAAACAGTTAGGGATGCATACTTCAAGTAGACTACAAGACCTGCAAATTAATAAAAACAAAAACAGAAATAAAACTACTCTTTCACATACAAAACAGCAGTATATTTAGTCAACAGAAAGATACCACAGCTATAAGCTTACAGTTTTCGCTCTAGAGTGACCTCTTTCAATATGTTAGCCTCTGGTACTCACATTTGACAAACTCATATGAGAAATTAAAAGTCCTTCCCATATTAATATTTAGGATTCTTCACTACAGCTTTCTTTCCTGCAACAAAGCTAACATATCTGTACAATCCAGTAATGAAGTGCCACAAGAAAATGCCTTAATTATGTCCTGGGAATTTCATGGAAGAGTCTAAGAGCTGAAGCCATGCATCTTAACGTATGCTAAATAAAAAATATACAACTGATGGAATCTAAGCTACTTCAGGAAAGGTACCTAATCTTCATGAAATTTTCCAAAATGTAATAATCATTACCCTGTATTAGAATAATATAGGGAAAAGTCTTTATTGATGAGTCTAGAAGACAGACATTTATCAAAGAAAAGGATCTCCTGTTTTTATTAATACTTCATAATTATCCTAAAATTAGCGTTCCCATTCTACATGTGATTAGATCTCATTTTTCATAAAAATGGAAATAGAATGCGCAGTCTACTCAGATGAAAAGGATGAGTGCTGTAACACTCTTAAGAACATGCAACTTTCAAATACGTATACTCCTTTATTTTGCAGTATACAAGCTTCTAGCAATCAAAATATATGTTTAAATAAGTTCTATATAGAAGACCTTTACTGAAATTCATTGCTGTGGCAGAAAATTAAGCGCTTACCTTTACACTGCATTCCTTGGCGAAAAAGGCCCTTGAGGAGCCGTTTGCAATACTGGCATATGGTGGGACGAGTATAAGAGTGAACAGCAAAGGTGTGAGGAACCTTCACTCTGCAAAGCACCATTTTTTCCATCCAGATGGGACGGCCACTCCAAGAGGGAATCCTTTTACTAGGTTCTGGGCAGCAGCGCTAGAAGAAAGAAGGTATGCAGCATGTGAATCAACAGAGCTCCACTTCAGAGGGAAAGCAGGGGAGAAAAGTGAGGTGCGGGTGGGACAAAGAGTTGGCACTGAAAGTGATCAGATAAAGAAAGCAAACCCTGGCCAAGAAGCTTTAAGAGGACATTTTGATAAAATAAATAAAAAAATAAAAAAAAAAAAACACCAGATGGAAAAGCCTTGCAAAGTTCAGGAAAGTATGCATGAATCTATATTTCCACAGGAACTAAAATGCCAAAAAACAAGGCCAAAATTCAGTCTTATGACTTTTTTTTTTTTATTAGAGCAACCTGGCCACATTCACAGATAGCATATACAGACCCCCAAATCGGGGATTAAATGGAGAACTCTGGAGGTAGGCAAACTAGGAAACCACAATTACCTCACATTACCACTTTTCAAAAGCAAAGTACTTCGTGCCTGGATAGCTTATTAAGTTAGGCAAAAATATTTTTTAAAAAATTAAAAGTATTTTGTAAAGTCAAACAAACAAATACTCAGTATCTTACTGAACTTTCAAGCAGGATAAACTTACAGTTATCTAGATCTAAAAAACTGTAGAGGAAAACGTGGCCCCACACATGAAAGTAAGATTGCTGGAAGATTAACAGCAATTACCATAATATACTACTGATAATCTAAGCCAATAGTAGAAGCCAGATAGCAAGGAGTTACTGAAGAGGTACTAAATAGGTATGCAGAAGTCATATACACTAGGAAATTCCATGAGAGGAGAAACACTATTTTATGTTCACTGAACAAAATCTTACCAATAGTCATAAACAGCAGCATTAATATATTTCATAACTCAAAATTAGACTTCTTAGCTCAGAGCTAAAAAAATATGTTCTTGAACTAGACAACCTAAATAAATTATATTTTAAATTATTACAAGAACATAATAGTTATACTGTAAAGTAATAGAAACTTAGATAAGTGGGAAAGGCTAAGTGTCAAAAGCACACCTTTTACCCCTTGGTAAAAGCTGCAATGAAATTAGTGGATCCAATAACCATCTGTCCTGTCATAGAATCACAGAACAGGGTTTGAATCACAGAAAAGGGTTAGAAGGGACCTTAAAGATCACCCGGTTTCAACCCCTGCCATGGGCAGGGACACCTCCCACCAGACCAGGTTGCCCAAAGCCCCATCCAACCTGGTCTTGGACACCTCCAGGGATGGGGCATCCACAGCTTCTCTGGGCAGCCTGTGCCAGTGCCTCATCACCCTCTGAGCAAAGAATTTCATCCTAACCTGTAACCTAAACCTCCCCTCTTTTCATTTAAAACCATTCCCCCTTGTCCTCCCTGTGTTATAAGTATATCCAATAATGTCTTAGCAACCATAGCACCCATTATAACAAAAAACCATTACAGATGATGGCTTTACCACAAGCCCTTCATCCCCTGCACCCTCCTTGATAGGGGCTGGTTTTTCAGATTCTCTCTGTGAAATGTTTAGCAGCATATCAGGAACATTCTCTACTCTCTCAACATAAAAGCTTACGGTTTGTACTTAGCTAGCTAAATAACCATTCTACAATGATACAATAATTACAGAATGAATCTGGATTACAATGAAGGCAAGGTATTTTATCATTCCCAAAATCAAGGTTCTCATAGTTCACATAACCACAAGTGACAGACTAATGACAAAATTATACATAAGTTATCTCTTCCTTCCAGTTTCATTTCTCACAGCAATAGCATTATCTGTAAGTGTCACAGTCTGAGACTCACCAGAGATTTAAAAATTAACTAAAACCAATCATACCGGTCAAGCTCAATTCTCTCCTACTGATTTTCAACCACTTAAAACACCAACTAGTTCCCCAGATGTTAAAAGATTTAAAGCCAGAAATGGTTTCCCCTTTCACATTACGTACTTCTTCAGAGGCAGAGGCCGTGTATTCAGCTTGTGCTGGCCTTGGAACTGAAAGCCCTGCTCCTGGTAAAGACACATTAGACAGACGCCTCTTCCTCACTCCACTACAGTTATTTGGGATCTTGAAGGCACATCGCTTATGGTAGTTTAACCCGCAACCTGAAAGAGACATTTTTGCAGACAAAATTTTAAAAAAAGTAACAGAAATAGTAACAAACTGTTTTTGATAAAGGGGATCTTTAAAAGTGGACCCAAAAGAATGGTAAAGACAGAAACAGATTCTGTTAAATTCTCTGATTTTAGTGTTCTTGATGCAATTCACAGAAACGGTTTTTGCATAGCACGCTGGAATACTGTTTTCTGGTAAGCCCAGCCCTAGAAACAAGGTGCAAGACTCTGAGGCAGCTGATTTCCCTCCTCACTTCTTCTCCCAACAGAAGGCTTTCACCACTCCCTCCCTGTGGAGCAGAGGAGCCAAGGAGCAGCCAGCGAGCAGGCAGGGTTGGTACCTGTCAGCAGTTGCAGAACACTCTGCAGCCAGCTGGACGAAGGCCATAAGCAATGGGATTCCCCTTCGGGAGTCTCTCCAAAGTACATGCTCCTTGAGCAAGGAACAGGCGTTTGTCAGCTAGCTATTATTTCAAAGCGAGACAAGAACAGTTGTTAAGCCGTTTGCTTGCCCAGGGTCACATAATTTGTATTAAAGCCAAGACCAGAACTGAGGTTTCCTGATGCAGGAGGATTTCCAATGCTACGTTTTGAACAAGATGCAATTTCTTCCTCTGCATCTGTTACAAATATACACAACAAAAATGCAGCAAAAATCAGACTTACCTTCACATTTCAGCCCTTGTCGTACCAAACCCCAAAGCATCTCTCCGCAGTAGTCGCAAAAAGTAGGAGCCTTGTAGGAGTGCACATAAAGCGCATGAGGACGAATCTGGAAATCTTCAACTGTAGCCAAAGCTTTTAAAAAATTGCAGTAAGTTACAGTTCTTGCCATAAGATCAACAAGGATTTATGAAAAGAATAGATTGTTTCAAAAATGGCTGATTCAAAGAACACTAATAAGCCATTTAGACGCCAGCATTATTCTGCATACCATTTAAAAATGCATTCAGAAGATTACATAGTTTTCAGTAAGCTTTTTTATTGAGGAAGAAAATCCTGTGGACTTTGCAGGCTAATGGCCACAACCAATCAACAGTATGAGTCACAATAAAATAATTGCAATCATCAGGTTGTGTTTTTTTTTTCCTTTCATGTTGAAAGCCTCAGTAAGTCAAGAAGGAAAAATACAACAAGCTTTGTTAAAGGTAAACAATTGATGAAACAATTCAATTTTCAAGTTGTTTTGTAACCTATAACATTTTCAAACAAAGGATAGTTCCACAGGTTCTTTCATATTGTAAAGGATTTTTTCAGTAAAAGTTTATTAGAATGAACTTGATGTGTGTCAGAATGGAATTGCGGATAGTTTCTGTGGAACACTGCAAACTTCACTAGTCCTGTTCTTTTTCTTAAACAAGCACAAATATATTTTGTCCCATTGTACTGTTTTTGTCCTGTTTCTTTGTAATGTAAAAAAAAAAAAAAAAAAAAAAACGGAATTTATGCTATCATTACCTTACCCCGTTGCCTTTTATTCTTTGACTAAAATATACACTAATGCTTCATATCCAGATTCCCACATCTCAGTTTTAAAAACCCTACTGAAAGAGATTTATGTCCTCAAAACACCTCAATTTCTGGTGATCTGTCTCTGTTTATAAGGAAACTGTCAGATCGTCAAGAAGAAACACACACAAGTTTTCCCAATGTGCCACTAACCAGAAGCAATGAAAAGCTCAAACTGAGATGATCGATTATTAAACACACTAAAAATGCCTAGGTCCTGAAATGCAGCCAATGCACACAGCCTTCGAACTCTTGAAGTCACACTTTATCGACCCAAGTAACAAATCTAACCCCACGACAGCCAAGACATCTCTTTCCAGAGCACAGCCTCAGTCTGGCACTTAGTCCTCAAAGCCCGAAAGCACTGCTCAATACTAGGCCAGCTGTTATTTGTAGCTTAACTAGCTACCAGTCTACATCTGACTTCTGGTTGACTTCAACAGGGTATTTCCGAAACACACACAACCAAAGTCACTCAGGGTTTGCTAACTAACGTTACTGAAGACAACTACAGGTTAATACTGCCAATGCTACAGACTTCATCATTTAAAAGAAATTGTTTTCAACCACTACAATAACCATTAAGACTGTCCTTATAAGTATGATTTAGCAACTACATACGTATGAAACATTTTAGTGATATGAACTGTCAATGCAAAAGCTACAGAACGATGACAAATCTAAGCAAAAGACCAAGAACATGGTTGGAAAAGCAAATACTGAACCATATCTGAATTTCAATTTCAATAATTACTAAATCTGAAGATTAAAACATGAAAACGATAACAAAACTCAGTACTGAAGCATCAGTACTGCATGGATTTTTTTGGAAATCTCTACCCCAAAACAGTGACCCTGTGTGAGACTGCTTAGCCAAAAGAGTTCAAGGCATGCACGATACTAATACTCCATAAAAACCCGTTTTCTTTTAAGCAGCCGAAGCAAGTGCTACTCCGTTAACAATACCTACCAGAGAGAACAACCTCAACAAGATCTCCTTCGTGTATCTCTTCTGCTGATGTAATCCGTTGCAAAATATTATCTGAGTTCAGGTCATGCCGGAAGAGGAGAATTTTGTCATACATGCCAAAGAAACCACACTCTGGGAACTGCAATAGAAAGCAAACTCTAAATTAACACATGCTTTGTTAATCCTACCCACAAAGTGATTTATTTTTTTTAATAACTCCAGAACTCGAGTGTTTTAAGTGTTCCATGGGGGAAAAAAAAATATTATCTGCTTGACATTTTTGAGGAACTGAAGCACTTTCTGAACTGAAATGTAGCATTAAACGAGAAAAAAATAAAACAAAACCCAGTGATAAGAACTTTTTCCCTGCCTCCCTCCCTCTCTGCTAACCAACAGTGAAACTTTCGCAAGCCCGAAATGGAAAAATGCTTGGGCTTTTTATCTCTCAGACATGCGTAATCAGTCTGGCACCTGAAAGCCAACGCAGATTTCTCTAAGGCAGCTTATCACCACCTGCAACCCTTATTTCACAGACGCTGTGATCAGCCAGGCAGTCAGCTCCAGCCACTCCAGCAGCACCTGCCACTCTTCCATTGAGGGGCAAGCCAAAGAGGCTCAGTGCTCGTGTCCCGCAACAGTTGAGATTTGCAGATGCAAAGAAAGGAGAACTCAGTTCATTCCAAGGGCAGAAGATAATATTCCCAATTCATATAGGGAACAGATACGCTATACAACATGCCATATTTCCATGACGTTCCACTAAAATGACTCTTATTCTGTATTTTCTCCACTCTTTGAATGTGATTAATACACATTAAAGTGACAAGTTTAAAAGTTAACAGACAGTTCACAGAGAAAAAGAGCAGGAACAGAACCGTGAGAGCAACAAACAGCAATCAACCAGCTTCTCTGGCCTTCTTCTGTTCAGACCAGAACTCAATCTCGAAGTGTGAATAAACACACAGAAGGGCTAGACAGAAGGCAGGAAGAATGTGCAGAAAAAATATGGAATAGCACACAACACATTTTCTATTGATTAGGTAACAAACAGACTACAGCTTGGTAATTTAGGACTGGCATCGTAAGTAAGAGGGTCTAAACTGCATGAAGCTTGTGGTATGTCAATTGTCCTTTGCTAAAGTAGCCTTAAGACTCATTTCTACCAAATCAAAGACGTAATGAAGGTATCCGTCATGGCCATTGTTTTCACACTCCCTTCCCACTCAGAGAGAAAATAATTTCCTCTTTCCGGCAGCAATTTTATCCAAAACATTAATTTGGCCTTCTCTGTTTTGGTGTGCACGCCCTGCACATTCACATCAAATATTCACAAGTGTTCTGTGGGATGCAGAGCCCTTGAGGGGCTGTTTGCCATTTCTTACAAGAAAGTAAAGGACTCGCTTACTCTCCAACTGCTGCATGGGCTCCAATGGCCCCTTACACTAAATCACTACACAGTTTCCTCCAGCCCCATTAACAGAAAAAAAAAAAAAAAGTTAATCTGTATCTCCAGTAAATGAGTAAAAAGTTAAAAAGCCTGTGTGCCTCGATTAACAAGAAAGCAAGATGTATTTACAGTCTTTGAATATGTGCTGTGAGGTTTTATTCCTTGATCTTACACATGCTGGCTAGCCAGGTATCAGACTTCATGCTAGTATCAACAAGAGAAAGCTATCACATCAATGCTATAATTCATTTAATCCTCAAAATAGCGTCTAATTATAGCCTATCTTTTGCGCCATGTTGCTGAATATCTTAATCCCAACAAAAGGGAGAGAAAGCCAACCAGACTATGCTATCTGCCTGCAGATCAGCACACCGCTCCTTACCGATGCTGGTGGTTAACTGCAGCTGCCAGGGCGGACAGCTAACTGGTGACTCAGAGAAATAGTATGAACTATTGCCTCTTTGTACTCGGTTCACAAAACCACCTACAAATCACAGATTTGAAGCAGCCCCTGTGACACTTCACAGGTTTAAGCCTCCTTCTTCTGATAAAGATATGCCTTAATTTCTTGCCTGCTGGCTCCTCCACTCCATGGACAGGAATGCAACACCCCTCGCCAGCGCCTTCACCAGAAGGATACGTGTGGAGTGCTGGCCAGCAATAACCTTGGCGATTGACACAGGGTTTTGGTTGTGGGGGTTGTTTGTTTGCTTCAGGTGGTATCTTGTAACAGGATTTTTACACAAAGCTTAAACTACGCTCACACTGTACACTACCAGACTTTTCTCTCTTGTAGTGCAGTGAAGTAGAGCTTTTATAGCTGTCTTTATGCTGTTGCACGAAGCTGTTAAGGAGGAACACTATCCAGCTCCTTTGAAGTGTTAAGAGCTCCGAATGTAAACTTGAAAACAAAATTCAAAGTGGAATTTTTTAAAGCTTGTTTTATCTTACCGGATTACATGGCTATTACTTTCCTGCCTAAAAGCCCAAACTATCTGCGCAGTCACTCAGAACACATAAACTGCTAATCCCCGTACCACTTTGTTTCCTAAAAGCAAAAAGGAGGCCGTTCCCAGCGTTAGCAGTTCCAAAAGAGCATCTAACTACAGGAAATCACTTGCGGGAAGTCTACGTATGCGATGGCTTGTGCCAAATTCATCTCTGGTACACCAATATTAACTCACATAAAGAGCACACGTGATCCTTGTACAGGGGTGGTACCAGCACGAGTAACACTACTACTGCATTACTACAGTTACACCGAGCAAAACAACGGGCATATCTAGAGTGCTCAAACGCAGCATTGCCACATGCCTGCTTTTCCTTGATGCGCACCGGTCCGCTGCTCTGTTTCCCCCAGAAGAACACAACACCCAGCGGCCAGTATTGCTGGAGCAGAACACGACTGGGGTTTCTTTCTAGCTTGGCAGTAACCGAAAGATCCTTCTAGTTCAAGTTCCAGGACTTACTTTACAAAGTTCTGGACCAGTCGCCAAAAATTCACACTAGGGAAAAGCGTAGGCGGATATTGTTTCAAGGTCCAATATCTCATGACCCGTCATAACTCAAAACAAATGCTTCAAACTGCTGGAAGTTAATCCCAAAGTCTAATGGTGCAAAAACACCCATTACCTTGGAAAGCCTCCTCCTTCGCTGCAATCACTCCCATCTCTTCTCCTGCATCCCTACGCAGCTATCTGCTCCCACTCTTTCAAGTCATGTGCCAAATCACATTGTCACACAGAGAACTGGGCTCCAACCACATTGTAGGAGATCTTTCCCTCGCCAGACGCCTCAGTACAGACACACTCGGACTACTGCTTGGCTAGGTTTTGCAGCACACAAACCTATTACCACACTGCAGATGCTCACCTGCCCTGCACATACGGTCTCTGTGCCCCCGTACTCCCCCAGCTCCCATTTTCCTGAAGGCCTGGTGGCTTCTCGTGCCCCAACTCTATTACACTGCTGACTTGTTTAGCTCGTACGGAGAAAGCAGATGGCAAGTCAAGAAGGCAAACCAACAGGGAAAAAAACATTCAAGCACAGCCTGATTATGAAGCAAGATCTGGATTAATTTTAGACCCATTCAAAAATAAGCACCATGAACTAAGAATACAAGCTTAACCTGGGGGGGAAAGGTTCAAGTACTGATACCTATTACACCAAATTATTAAAAAATGGATCTCTGCGACTCTTGTAGTAATACAGATCAATTGTAATATGATCCTTGTAATAGGATGCTTCTACTTCTCAGTATTTTATTAAATATAACATCTGTTAGCAGTTTAGAAATCATCTCCAGCTCCAAGTCAACGCCTCTGCCACAAACAGGTTAGATAGCTCCCCATTACTACAACAGTGTCCAAACCTTCAGAAAACAGCTCATACTCATACCACATGTTTTGGTCTCTTCACAACATAATTTTAAGCATTTTAAAATGAACACTCTTTTTTTCCCCTCTTCAGCAGCCATTAAAGAAGAGCTACCTATCCAAACTACTGTCCCATTAAAACCATTCAGCCCCATTAAAACCAAAGTTTTTAGGTATATCAATAATACAAGTATACAATTAATCATCACTTGGTTAGAAGAGTCTACAGCATTATTTGTGTTTTTCCTGTCAGGCTTATTTCATTATCAAAACAATACGTTTGGACACATCTCCCCAGTTTTTGCTTGCCTCCTTCAAATGTACTTCATCTTCACAGAAAACTGGCTCGTTTTCTGAAGAACCCAAGGACTTCAGTCATATTCCAGCTATCAAAAACTAAATCCCAACCACTCTAATTAAAATGATAGGCAGAGCTATCAAAATAGTACAAACATACTGCCGGGATCATATTCAATACAGATCATTCAAACTATTGACCAGGGAACACCGTGTACCAGAACTATGACATTTAGAAAAGCAATTAGAGTCTGAAACTACAGAAACAGTAGAAAGAATCACAAGAAGGTGTAATATGCAAAATTTAACTCCTTTTGAACACAACTACACTTGCAGCGACTGCATTCTAACACCTTACAGAGGCTGAACAAATAAATATGAGTACACATTAGGCACCTGCCTAAATAGCTATTAACAGATTAAGGCTGGAATTCCGGCAAGTCGAAGCAACATAAAGCAGGAAACAATCGAGGAATTAACAGCAGTAAGAAAGCATAAATATTGTTGAGAGAAGAAATTTAAGGTAAACAACGACACCTTAAAGACTTAGCATATAGAGAGAAAGATGACGAAAAAACAACACGGAAAGAAAAGTGAAAAAGGGAAGTTTCAGAGTCATGAAAGTAAAGATGTGCAAGTTTAGGAAAAAGGTCACAAGATATCCTGCAGATACTGATGCTGTACAAGTAATAGCACAGAACAATCAAATGTCTTTCATTTGTAGCTATTACTTTAAGCAGGACAAAATAAATGAGCTAGAATAAAGCACTTTTAGCACCATATGCTGTTCTACATAATTCTGTTTGCGGACAGCAGGGCATCACCACATGTTGTGGTTTTTCTTGTCTTAAACTAGTAAGGCCCATGTTCTACTTGTCTAGAACAAAGAAACAACATGTAAAGACAAGATTAAGAACTTGTCTCTCTAATATCTGATCACTGTGCACGACATACACTGTCCATCTACAAGTTATGCTAAAGACACATTTGTCTGCTTCTAAACACACTGTCTCTCTTCCCATCTGTTCTTGCTTTGCTTCCTTTGCAGACTTTCCCTGAGAACTGTATGCCCGGTGCTTCAACGGGCAGCAATCTAGGTAAGGAATGAACAGAGAAGAGAGATCAAGACTAGAATGAAGAATCTTCACAAGCATCCCTACCAAGTTTACAGTTGACTTTTTTCCCTGAAGACTTCTTTCAAGCATTCTAATAATACCATTCACACAGCACTCCCCAAATTTCACTTTAAACTTGAAAAAATCTTTTCTTGCTCCTCTCCTGATGTTTAGAACATTTTTAACAAAACAGAGAGACACATCAAACGTTTGCATTACCCATCTCCCTCTCCCTGCATATGTGTCTGCTGCTTCTTTAGTTTCAGTTCTGCTGATGCTACTTTTAAATACCCTTCTGCAAAACCTGAACAGGCTGCACTGAACAGCAGCATCTGAAACAGGAAGCACCACTGATCATCAGTACTACAGAAAGACTGACACTAAATGCTAGGAAAAGGCATTAGGTAGGCACAGTACTTATTTCCTAACTCAGCTGCTCCCCAAGACAGGCTTTTGCAAGATTTTTTTTTCCCCGGTTGATTAATTTCCCCTGAAAAAAAAAAAAAAAAAAAAAGGAAAGGCATAAGTCATTTTTCTAAAGACTTCTGAGGATGCTGCAATTACTTTTACAAAGGTCAAAATCCAGCCCCCTCAGAGATCAGCTGCAAGTCCTAACCAACATGTTTGATATCAGTTGTAGCCTCAAACAGAGCCAGGAAGGTAATTCAAGCTCCCAAGCAACCGAGGGTGGTCACATCTCCCTCAAACATTTTTTGTTCAAGGCATATAGAGAAATACAAGACTGAAATATGATTTGAAAGCTCTATTAGAAATAAGTAAGAAAAATTCCACTTAATTCTAGTAGAGTTAAGATAGCATTCAAATAAGAAGACAAGCTATGAACAATTCCAAGTATAAAAAAATATACCTCCTTTTTCATTAAAGAGGTGCAACAATATATAGATACTGCTAACAAGAACAAACCCTACAGCTTCCTAAAGCTGACAACCAGGAACTGGTCAAGAGAAGACAGTCTGAGCCAGCCACAGAATGCCAGAGAAAAGGGAAGCTTTAACACCACCAAATCCCAAAGGCATGCCCAATAGTTTCAAGCTTGCAACTGGAGAAAACAGGCAGCCATATGCATGGCAGTACACAGAAGAACATGGTTTACAACTTCTTACATAAATACGAGGTTTATATATTAATATTCATTTATTTTATATGCTTGCAACTGTCACCAGATCAAAGAACAAAATCCAGGCAGGGCACATTACTATCCAATAGAGGGAGGATATTGCCACTTGTGCACTGGCTGCAAAACTCCTCTTGAAAGATGAGCCAGCCACACATAAAGTTGTTACCCCACACGCATTTCCTGATCAGTTTGCTGCCTGCAAGCATGCGCTCATTGAACAGTCATTTTTTGGTAGCATCAGCTGCAGGAGAACATGCACTGAATCAAAGCCAGATGGAAAGAGGTAAACTGTGATCCTGAAATCCTTTTGCAGCAGATTAGGCTCAGTGTGTAGGAAGTTTCTTAAGCTATAACAAGAACCTGAACTAAACTTTTAGCTGAGTCTGCTTAGAGAACAGAAAGGGAAAACAGCACTAAGTGTGAATATATTTGTTTTTATCTTTCTTCAAGACAGAAGACAGGAAATATGCAAATGCAAAGAGAAGGAGTTGATACAGAAAGAAAAAGCGGCCCCTAAAATGGCTGCAAAAAAGTACACCTAAGACACATAGTATGAAAAAAAAAAAAAAAAAGGTTGACCCAAATAATTTGTCTGTTTAGAAAGGAACTAACACGCTGAAGTACATTGTGGTAGCCCATAAAGCTATTATGAAATCAACTTGCTTGCCAACTAATTTGTAAACATATGGAAGATGCAGTAAGTTGTGAGATGAGGGAAAAGATATGCCAGCATATGCAAAGGAGAGTTTACGTAACATTTGCATTTACTTTCTCTCAAGCTATTAAGTGAAAAAGAACCATCTAATAAAACTAATTAACCAAAAATACCAGCCACTACAATGAAAGACATGAGGAAAGCAATTCCCTACAAAATTATCTACCTTTGACTTCCTTGAGGGAAAAGAGTAATTACTTCTTATTTACACTAAACACTGTTAACCACTTTTCAGGCTGGTTAGTAGTACCTAGCCTACCTAACGTAAACACACGGATAAAACTTGGATATAAAAACAAGAGAGATGGCATTTCCTCCCCAGAGAGTCAGAACGATGCAACAGCCTAATCAAGATACATCTTAGAAGTACCCTAAGATGTTTTTATGTTTTGGTCAACTGTCTTCGAACAAAGAAATGACACTGATAATAGTCCTCTCATCAAAGAGCAGAGCACGTGCTCCATATATGGAAAAAATCATACAACATTAGCTGCTTAGTTTTTTTTTTTTTAATTATTAACTAAAAGCAAAAGTAAAAGCTACTAGCATCATGCAACTCCACAGGCTTGTGGTGTACTTCTGTAGCCACAACTGGTCCTTAGGTTACAGCTGGCTATACTGTACCAAGACCATCCATTAGCAGCAGCAAGCACAAACTGAAGCAAGTAAAAACCCAGGACACCGGTGACAATTATGGAAAGGAAAAAACACTTGCCATATTGTGAAAACTAATCCCTGCAAGAAGTTGACTTCTACACCTTCCTTTATTAGATTTCAAAAGCAAGAAGGTAACAGGAGGGCTTATTCCTTCTAAAGCAAAAGCTTCTGCCTTGGGAGTCAGCTAAATTTGTGTGTAACTGCAACCATCTGCCATGGATCTCTGCCCCTGTACCAAACTTCTCAGCACATTCCAATTCCACCTTGATATTCCTAGCAGTTTCTTAGAAAACAATCACTGCCAACAGAAGAACGCAGTGCTGTTATACCATACCTTCTGGTAAACTATAGAGCACACGAGGTCTTTAACAGCAGAGAGGGACAGGTCCTGAGCTTCAATGGTGACAGTCTCTCGAGTGAGACCGATCTGCAGAAGGAATGAGACCCCGTGCACAGAGCCCCTGGAGTTTGTGAGGCTCTGCGTGCTGAAACTGCCATTGGAGAGCCGACTGGAGAGCCCCGACTGGGGACTTGAAGACAACGTTGGGGTTTGTTGTGCAGCAGCATGACACGTGGGTGGGGAAAACTTCTGTAAGGATGGGGGAGAAGAGTCGTTTGCTGACATCTGACTTGCTTTAAACTGTCGAGATCTGCCTAGTAGTCAAATTCTAAGAAAAATGTTGTCAGTTCTTGGTTTTAAATTAGAAGTTAGGAAAACCTAACTTTCCCTTTCGTAGTTCAGTAAAATGCCCCTGACCGGTAAAACATGTTAATTTTCCCTTTCATCCTGTGCAAGCCAGAGAGTAAAATAATTTCAGCTGGAAGTTACTTTAAATTAAAGGTTCTGTTCCACAGTCACAATCAGCTGATCAAGAGCAGATTGCTTTTCCTTTAGCACCAGGTCCAGACAACAGAGGCTTACACAAAGGCCTCAGAGAAATACATCAGCTCTGCTGTTTTATACTTGTCCTTCATTTCTGTATTAAAAACAACAACCAAAAAAATCTGGAAACACCAATGGAAAAAAATGTTGGTAAACTCATTAACAGTGTCCTTTTTCACCTAATTCCCCAGGCTGTATCTTGGATGCAACCTCATCTTCATGTAGACAGCTTTTCAGAACAAAAAAAGGGAAAACTGTATCCTCGGGCAACAAACGAAGTCCACATATATGATGAAATCTACTCCTCCTTCAGAAAATCTCTGAATTCACAGGACGTTGTTAACTTGGAGATCCTCAAAGGTATCTGATTTCATCCTTGTGAAATAGTTTAGCTCATGAAACGCAGGAGCAAAATTTCTGAAGACGCAATCGCATTAAATGTAATCTCTAGGTTCACCCAGATAACCTCCAGCATTTTGAAACGTTGTACTCTGCCTGTAGGGAAAGAGATCCAGTTATTTCACATGAAATGCAAGGAGTTGCACAGCAAGGCCATAAGCGGTCCTCTGAAGCAGCAGGATAACCAATTCCTTGCACTCAAATATGGGGTAAAGTTGTAACATTTTGTAAGTATAACTTGAATTTAAGTGTTCTCCTACCGTACAATATGCAAATCAGACTTAATGCTGACTGATACATGAACACAACTTTTAATTATCAGTAATACAGCACAGCAAAGCTCTTTGGTTGATAACAGCAAAAAAAAAAAAAAAGAAAAGAAAAAGATATATATAAAAAAGGGTGGGGGGAATAGACCATAGGTCTGCTCTGCAGGTGTATGCTGAAAAGCTGGTGGGTAGAGAAGGAATTTTATTAAATACACTGAAACTTCCAAAAAACATAACGCCAAGAAAAAAATCCTCTATGTAAAGCGTACTCAGGATACATTTTAACACTTTTATTCAAAGTAACTTAAAAACATCCTGCACAAACTCTTAACTGGAGGAAAACAGCGTACAATAGAGCATCAGTTCCTCTGAAAAAAATCGTTTAGTGTTTACATGTTTAATAAAAAAGCAAGTCTGCCACAACCTTTTAAAACAAATCATTTCATGACTGGATTCCGGATTAATTTTTTTTTTTTTTGAGTTTCACAAGCAGAGATTCCAACTACTTGCTACAAGCTGCTGCGCTGATGCCCTATTTGAAGCATTTGGAAGGAAAGACAAACGCTCAGGCACATTGTCCACTCCAACTACGGAGTTTACAAACGGTACCGAGCAGCTTTACCCGGACCCCAGTCACCTCTGGTAGTGTGGAATGAAGGAAGTCAGATTTGCACTTGGTAACTTCGGCAACGCTTTGATTTTCAGTTATAGGACCAACAGTTCAAACACATCAAAGCATCCCGTTATGCTTGCCCTTCACGGCTAAGCCACGTAATTTCTTTTAAACTATTCCCTGTCCTCATTTACTTCTACAAAGCCGAGTCGAAACAGGTTGATTACTATTTGATTACCGTTTCAGTTCTGACAGGAACTGCTAGCAGGGGCTCCAGAGGAGACCCCAAAGGGCCACCCCCCGGACCTCGGGCAGCGCCCAGCAGCACGCGGGGCTCTGCGGGGCCGCCACCGGCACCTGCGGACACCCCGCAGGCGGCAGCGGCGCGGAGCAGCCGCAGGCCGGGCGCCGACAGGAAGCGCGGGGGCAGCCCCCGAGCCCTCCCCTCAGCGCCGCCGCGCCCCCGGCCCTGCCAGCAGCCGCCCGCCGCCCCCCTGCCCTCCGCCGTTTCCCCGCGGCAGGGCGGCGCCCCCCCCGCGCCGGGACCTTTCCGCCGCCGCCGCCCTTCCCGGCCCGGCTCCCCGGCTGCCCGGCGCCGCCGCTGCCCCCCTAACGGTCCTAACGGCCCTAACGGCCGCGCCGCGCGCCCCCCGCCCTCACCTGCGCGGCCCCGCCCGCCGCCGGCTGCCCCCGGGGCCGCCGCTGCCTCGCGCGCATCTCACCCGCCGCGCGGCCCCGCGGCTCGCCCCGCACACGCCAGGAGCCGCCCGGGGGGTGGGAGGGGGGGTGGTGAGGGGGGGACGCGGCTGTGGGCGCGGGGGCTGCCGGGAGCCGTAGTCCCGCCGCCCCTCTCAGCCTCTGGGCCGGGCGGGGAGGCGAACTACGAGCCCCGGCGCGCCCCTCGCCGGGCGGGCGCGCGGCGCATGCGCGCGCGGCCCCGCAAGAGTTTCCGTTACTTTCCTCGCCCTGTGGCGGCGGCTGCCCCGTAACCGCTAACGGGGCGGCGGGGGGGCGCTGCGCAGCGCTGCCGCCGGCTCCCCTCAGGGGGCTCCTCGGGGCTCACCTCGGCCGGGCGCGGGTGGCGGCCCCTCAGGAGACGCCCAGCCTCGCCCCCGGCCCCAGGGCTGCCTCCCACCCCGGGGTCGGGCATCCAGCCCGTCCCCGCCGCCCCGGGGAGCGGCTGAGGTGGGGGCGCCTGGCCGGGCCCCCAGCGGGCAGCCGGGGGGCACCGTGGGCAGAAACCCGGAGGGTGCCGGCTCTGGGCCCGCAGCGCGCTGCCTTCGTCTGGCGCTCCCGGGGCCTGGCCTGAAACCCGCTGGGGCTCGGTGCAGGCTCTCCGCTTGCTTCAGCCTCGTTTGCATCAGCCCCTGCTGCCCGGCAGCTGATAGGGTCTGTAAGGACGGCTGTGTTCCCGCTGGAGACGGCTTGTTTGATAAAGAATTAGCCTGCAGCTTCTTGTTGAAATGTGGAACTACTTTAAACCCAAAGTGCAGCAGTTAATAGCTGATTCTGCTTTTAACTGGTTTTTGAATGCTAAAAAACACCCTGGGACTTTTTAATGAAGGCTATTCCATGAATAGAGGATGTTCTTGCCAAAGCTCTGCACAAGATAACTGAGCAATCTTCGTTTCCTTTTTCCTCCTGAAGTGGGACTCCCACACACCAACACTATAAACACAGAGCTTGCCTCCATAAACATGATTTCTGATGTTTAGCACAGCAAGGAGTCGTACTCTAGAGCTTCTAAAGTGCAGCAGGCTTCTCACAATCGAAGTAACAGCCCTAAAAATAGCCAACTGCAGGCAATACCAGATGGATGTTAGGTATTACCACAGACACTGGGCAACGATTATACTTCTTTGTAGAGAAGCTCAGCTTATATCATCCACTAGGGTTGGTGCCATTTAATTTGCTGCTCTAAGCCAGCAGAGCTGCTTTTTCATAAATTAGAACAGAAGACGGATTAGTTAAAATCGATTTATTCTAGAACAGAGAAAAGCATCAGCCAAAACATAACAGCTATAAGCATTGATGTGCTGGTACTTTATATTAATGAATGCTCCTAAAGCATCCCAAAATGTTCTGTTCTTACAGGGCTCTGACTAAAAAACACACCCGAAAGCAGCTCTGCATTTCAGCATCTAACTATAGAGAAGCACAAACAGCTGTGTACGTGCCCAGCTGGGTCTGTGACCACGCAGCACAACGTTATGACAGCATCAGCCCCGACTGCCAATGGACAGCGTAAGCGCCCCATTTTGTAATTGTCGTGACTCTCATAATCAGCGATTTCCTGTGGGTTTCATCAATGTTCTGCATCCGTTTCAGAGCCCCCATCCCTCCTTCAGATGGTGAGCTTGTTTTCACTGCTCAGAGCTTTCCCTACTGAAGCCAGCTGCACTTCACAAAGTGCTACCTCTTACATGATAGCAGGAAATACGCATAGCTTCTGCTGTGCCTTGCTGTTAGAAACCCTGCTTTTCATTCCAGACACACCATACCTGCCATATAGAAAAGCCACATTTGGAATGACTGTTTTATAACCCTAAAAGCCCATCCAGTTTTTTCCCAGTTTGAAATCACTGCCTATAGCATTTGGATGCTCCGTGTCTGTAAACGGAAACTTAATGTATTCGTTTCTGTTCACCAGCCTGGTGTTCAGAACATTTGCATATCATCTGACTGGGTTACAAAGAAGGCAATGTCCTAGGAGACTTGACTAGTGCATTTGTCTGAGAAATACCATAAGCATATACTGCTGTGGTTATTTTTCACTGCTTTTGACACGGCTCTTGCTTAGCGAATGTGCCCATTCAGAATCTACACGAGCATCTGCAAGCATTTCTTGCAGAAAGAGGAACTAATATCTATCTGAACAAACTGTTAAAGGGCTTTTTTTTCTTCCATACTTTTTTTTTTTTTTTTTCCCAGTTCATGGTCTCCTTTCCCCACCCCCATTGTAGGAGAACTGAACAAGAATTAGGAGTTCAGGTTTGGTTTGGATAAAATCCTGCAATGTGGATGTCTCTGTGTAATTACCTCATCGTCTCGGTTTGAGCCCTTAGCTGAACTTTGTCCTAAAATCTACCTTCAAAAAAACAGTGGAAAGTTTAGTACAGGCTTAAAAACACATTGAATCAAATTTACCCTGGCATAAATCCACTTAAAACTATATATTTATATTATTAATTATATATAATTGTCCTTTGGGAGTTCACGTACCCATCACGAGTTTAAAGAATGGTCTCACAAATCCTTACGCCTACCAGGTGGGTAGCCTCACTCTAATCGCATCCTCCTCCTCTACCAATTATGAGACAAACACGAAGTTATTTCCCTAAATAAGTGTTTAGGGCTCACCCGCACACTCAGTTTACTAAAACATTGCCTCAAATACACCCACGGAGACAGGCGCTCTTAAGTCTGAAGCACCAAACCCGAGGCTTTCACAGCCTCAAAGAGGCCCTGTTCCAAAACCCACAGAAACCAGCAGCGGGTGGGCTGACTTCGATGAACAGCGGTGGTTCAGGTCCATGGGATGCACATGAGCACGGCATGCACCTCCAGGCTTGCGTGCTTCCATCTGAACCCCAGCCCTGCTGCCCTTCTGCTACGGCTTCTAGGAGCCACCCACTTGTTTCTGAACAGGCAGCAGCCAGGCTGCGGACTCTGGAAATCCCAGCCTGCATAAGCCACCCGCTGCCATGCCACTGTGGGGAAACCAGCCACAGCTCGGGCACAAAACCACCTCCTGTTAGCGAGACTGAACACACAACAAAGCACGCTTGCTCCTCTCCCTGCCGTGGGCCTGTTAGCTGCAGAACCAAATGTCTCTGGAGGGGCAGAAGGTGCAGGAGTTGCACCGGCTCACAGAGATGGGTGTGTGGAGCCCACAGCCCTTGGCAGTGCTGTTCCCCATGCTTCTCTCACTGCTGCAGCTGCTGGGCTGCAGGGGAGAAGCAACACCCAGGTTGCATTTTCACAGATAACATATGGTTTTCTTCAAATAACCTACTTGTTTTTCCTCCAAATGATACCTTGTTACATCTATTTGCTTTTCAAGCTAGTAAACTGACTAGACACATATAACAGCTAACTGCTGAGCAATTTGCTGACGTCTCTTCAATTTGGTAGCATGGAGTAGGACTAAACAATGCATTTTTCCTTTATAAATCACTGGAAAACAAAATGTTCATCACCTGTGGTTCCATTTTTTAACTTGGTGTATTATTTTTTAAATAGTTCCATATTTCCCTTTTCAGCTGTGAACTGCTCTGATTTATGCTTTGCTTCAATTTATTACTGTTTTTTGCCTCCTTGTTCTTCTGCATATCATTAGACAGAGAACTCTTGGGGGAGATTATGAATGGGAAGGGAGGGAGGTCTCCCTTCCAAATTTTGAAAGTAATACAGACCAAAATCTATCCTGAAGTTAAACACATTATGTTGTTTGGCTGGATAGGGACCAATTTAAGAACAGACAAAACTGCGTTGCTGAAGTGAATGTTAGTATGGCAAGTTCAATTAAGGGAAGAAAACTGTGTTTCAGTGTTGTTATGCTCTCTGTGGCAATTATAGATGTTAATCAGCTTTGACGTTTCAGTCTTGATACAAAGCATTCATCTACAGTGAAAATAAAACACATACAACGCATTCATATCAGGTCCAGACTGATTTTAATCCAGATATATTTGTATCTTTATAGTGAGATTAAAAAAATAAATAAAGTCAACACTGAAAGTCAAGGTATCAGCTTCCATTTCTAATTTTGTGTATGTTGTCTTTTGCAAAGCCAAAAGCAGTTTCCATCTAAAAATCCCCCAAAAGGTCTCCAGCACACCCTGCATTCAGATTCAACTTAACTGATTCCCCTGCCAGGTTTCTAATGTTCCCATTTCCCTGGGCCAGCACCAGAACTCACTCACATGAGCCAACCTGTGCTTGACACATTACCAAGTTTGTTTACTTTTAGAATAGCTAACGGGGCAGATTTCAGTTCAATGGGAAGCGGAATCACGGAGCACTGTCCCCATTTCTTCTTAGCTTTTGTGCTTAAATTTCCAGGTTAATGACCTTGACCAATTCCACTAATACTTAAACAAAAAGCAAACAACCTGTTCCTACCAAAGAGCCAACAGCAAGCATGACACTGTTTGAACTATCAGGTTGGGGGAAGGGGAAAAAAAGCTTAAAAACATCCTTTTCAGTACCTTTATGTATCTGGTCTGGCACTTACCCTTTTATCTGCATTTTCTACAGAGGTGTGATCAACGCAGTCTTACACCGACTTTACACTTGCCATGCTTGTACTCTGTGATGGAATTGTAGCCCTCAGTGGGACCATGGTCCCCTGGGGGAAGACATTATTAGCTAGCCCTGAAGCTAGCTCAAGCTATATTCTTGGCAAATTTCTGCTGCACACGTTGTGTTGTTGGTTTTTTTTTGTTTGTTTGTTTGTTTGTTTTTTCCCGCTAAATTGCTTGAGAACTCTGGCACATCAGCCCGAAATTTTGTCCAGCATCAGGGTTGTGTAGTCAACCACAAGAGCTAGGAGTGAAGGGAACAGGCTGTTGTTCTGTTGTGCAGTCCTGTTAGGGTCAATGTCATCTTGGTAGGTGGATGGAGCACAACTTCCCATGACTGGTCTCTGCTGATGGGGCTTTTGCTTAAGGGTCTGTTGATAGTGTTTGTAGCCCATGCTGGTCTCATGTGGTGATCTCAGTGATCGCACATTTCCCCTACTCAGCGATGACTTGGTTTTGCATTTGGACTTGTGTGAAAATTGAATGCCACTGGTATAAATTTGGCTACAGCCAAATTCTTAGTATCAGCTTACCAGGACGTTGAATCAGCAGTAGACCTATCACCACCAGCCAGTCCATCAGTATGTTGGGCCGTGGATCCACTGGCTTTTCTAGGAAACTTGTGGAACTGGGGTCAAGGAGCTGCAAATCAACAAATGGCTTTAGTTCTCCAATAGCAGCCTCACAGGCACTTCGGCTGCTTGCAAAGCCGTAGTTTTCAGGACGGGGCTCCTCAGTACGATGCTGAAGAGCAGCAGGATGAGCAGCCCTGCTCCCTCCTTCATTTCTGCCTTCATTTTGACTTTCTTTTCATTCATTTTGTTTGAGCGTCAAGTGCGAACATTAATACAAGTGTGCAAGTTGTGGATTTTGAGTGGAATATCTGTGATACAAACATCAGACGCTTTGCACGAGAGCAGAGCGAGGCTGCTGACACCGCCAGACCTGCAGGGCTTGGGCGCTCGGAAGCCTTTTGGTTGTCTCCAACCCTTTGAGCTGGCCTCCTGCCAGACATCACTCGGCACACATACCGCTAGCAGGAGCTGTGGCTGTAGGCCCAGCAAGCACCGTGAGGCCAGCAAGGAGCAGGTACAGCCACTAACACCTCACAGCGGCAGCCGTGTCTCCAGCGGCCCCCCACCACCTCAGGACACCGCGGGGCTCCTCAAGCCGCCCCGGAGAGCCCCCAGCCCTCCCCACCACCCAGCAGGGCACCCCCGGGGCCGGCTCCTCCTGCCGTGGGCACCCTCCTTCCTCCTCCTCCTCCTCCTCCTCCCCTTTCCCCCGTCCCCTCCCCGCCCGCCGCAGCACTGCCCCTTCTCCTGCGGCCCGGACGGCAGGAGCGGGATGGCGGGGCTGGCCGGGGCGCTGTGCCTGGCCGCCGCCGCCGTCTCCTGCCTTCCCCCGGCGCAGGGCCGGGAGAGCGGCGCGGGCTGGACGCTGCTCAAGGTGGGTTTAACCTCCCCTTCCTTCCCCTCCCCTCCCCTCCGCCACGGACCCCCCCGGGGCGGGCAGGGCGGGCGCAGGTGTGAGGGGAGATGGCGCCCGGCCGCCCCCCTCCACCCCCTCATGGCCGCCGGCGGGGGCAGGGGGCGGCCGGGCGGGAGGCTGAGGGGGGGCTCGGGAAGATGGGGCCGTCCTCCAGCCCGGCCCTGCTGGGGAGGAGAGAGGGGCAGGGAGGGGGCTGGGGGGTCCCGGTAACCCGCTGGCGAGCAGAGGGGAGCAGGGTGTGGAGCCATGCCGGGCTCCCGTGCATCCACAGCGGTGTCTGGCAGTGAGGAAACCTCGCTCCGTATAACGCTAAGGAACAATCAACAGGGGTAAACCCTCTGCTTCTTTCCCCATGTGACAACTCTTAGTGCCCGATTATGAAACACCAGCATAGATCTTAATGAACCAAATCACGAGGGACGCAGCAGACCATAGGCTGGCGGATTTCATTGAATTGAAGTGTACGTCTGTTCCCAAATGGAAATCCCTTCCTTAGGGCCCATCCTCAGGTGGCTGGAGAAGAGCTGAACCCAGTGGTCAGCCACAGCTGGCACAGCTCCACCACCCCAACACAGCGTTACCTCCACCCCTGAGTTGGAGGCCAGGACAAACGGGTGACAGCAAACTTCCTTCATACATTTCCACTCACCTCCGCTTAGTTGTCCATCTGTTTTCACTGTGATGCCATACAATGAAGGGTTGGTGGGTGGTTTTTTTGAAGAAAAAAAGAAATCAAGAGAAACTTTGTCATTCTCTTCTAAACATGTTATCTCTCTATATATAACATCTGCCTCATATATAGAATCTATATGCCTATAATATACCCAACAATATATATATACATAGCCCTGGTACTTCTTTCTTCAGCCCCCTTAACCCACACAAATGCACTCTTTACCTCGTTCCTTTCCAGCCAGGCAATCTGTTTGCTAATGATGTAATGCCATCTAACCGCAGAACCATAGCAGCTGAACTCCTCAGCCCCTGCAGACACTAACCAAGAACCACTTCCTCTTTCTCATCAAATTCTTGTCCCTTGACAACTCTTTCTCCTTCTCCCTAAAGGCACGTATGAGCCAGAAGCTGAAAGTCTTAAGAGCATACAGACCATTCCCTCCTGCTGCTGTAGCTCACTGAGGAGGAGGAACTGGGTCTAAACTTACAAGCTCTTAGAAACAAACTTGCATTGGCACTGAGCAGAAACATACCAAAACCAGCAAGGGAAGCGTGGGCTGCTAGAAGAAGTAGAAGTCTTGCAGCTTTGTACTGCTTAGTACAAAAAGTTTAATAGTAACCATGCCATAAATACATCGCTGTGCCTCACTGCCGTGGCAGAAACATGGATCGAGCAACCCTAAGGAATGAGCCCCTTACGGATCTCATTCTGTTATGCTTTTAATTTGTGACCATCTTTGCAATTCCTTTTGATTCCCAAATTTGAGCAGATTTCCATTATAAGGAACGCAAATTGTTTCTTCTCTTCTGAAATATTTTCATACATTTGTACTTAAATAATAATGTTTCTTTGCAAAGTGATTCCATGGCCACAGCCAGCAGGCATGCTCTACTGCACTACAGGCTAGACATGATTCAGCATTCTCATCAAGCCCTGCACTTATTCAAATGAAGGTATATTTTCAGAACATCCATAATTAATTTGTCCTCCCACACTTCTGAAGTCTGTAGTTGATTTTCTCTCTCCTAAATAGAACAGCTCTGTCACTGTCTCATCTGTGCCTTTTCTACATTGGTGTAAGTTCTGCTATATTAAACTTTTAGTCTTTCAAAAATGGAAACATTTTATACATCTTCTACACTTTGAAAACTTGTAGAAGCATATCTGATGAAATGTTATCTTTTTAGCCCATTTCTAAATCTGTTAGTGTTAAAAATGTTAACTGCAAATCCTAAAATGTAGTGTCCTTACAGCCTTAAAATTCAGTTTTTAACTTAAACACTGTATAGAAATTGGCATTGTAGAACTCAGTATCTGTGTGTGTCCTCCCCTACTTGATTTCACCAGTGAACTGAGGTGGAAAGTACCTCACATAGATAACAGCCAGGAAGAGAGAGAAGAGTTGAATTTACAAGAGTTTACAGTGAAGTCTAGGAAATACCTGTGTTGGTGCCTGCTTTGCCCAGCATAGACAAATGAAGTAGAAAAATTACCAATAGTGAGACCCCCCCCAAAAAAAACGTTTTTTAAAGACAATATTTATCTGTCAGGGTAATTAAAAGATTTCAAGGTCAGTACACTTGCTGACCAGGTAATAACGAGTTTCAGCAGTCATTCCAGACCACTGTGAAGTGGTGCACATGAGTAAGTGGGAAAGGAGAAGGAATTTTCTTTTCTACATCATCTTTTGTTAAGATATTCAACGCTGGCATCTATGAAAATATTAACTCAATGCAACAGCAGCCCAAAAGTAAAACCTGTTAAGCATTTGTAAGACAGGAAAGGAATGAAGTAGAAAATGCTGTTATCCTGCACTATAAGCTATGGTGCTCTCATGCTCCCATTTCTCTCCCTTTCCTCTTTTCAAAAAGGATGAGGTACACTGAAGGACAGCACGTCTGATAACCACGTATGGCAGTTCTGAACAAAGAACCAATGGACTAGGACCTTCCACTGGGTGGGAAGACTAGAAGCAAGTCCCTAGGATAGAAATGAGGAATGGATATGATAGGAGTATCCTATGATAGAGCCTGAAATATGAACCACTAAAAACAGGAGTTGCTCAGGAATCTCCTGAGAAGACAAATGCTAGAGACCGGGTAGGTTCAAACCAGGCAACCAAAGGGGCATTTGGGATATGTGCTTGGGTCTCCCCCCTGGCATTCAGCTACCACTCCAGGACATCACAAGGCTCTCCCACATCCTTGCTGCACCTGCCAGCCCCCATGAGGATGTCTCAAGTATTCTAGGGTTCTCACAGATAGCTCTAAAGGTCCACCCTTAGACAACAGGAAAGAATACAGTATTGAGGAGGTAGCTAGCACTACTACCTGTTGCCACAGGGGACCAGCTGCCACTTCAGAGGTTACCATGAGGCTAAGAAAGCTGATGCGTGCCCAGGCTAGCTCTGAAGGAGCTGCACTATGCTGTGTAGTCACACCAGTACCACCACTGTGGGCAGAGGCCACAAAGACGCAGCCTCACTCTTTCTGGAACTAAGGTAGCTTATGCATTTCTTAGCAGTAATGCACCCCATAACGTACACAGGCCATAAAGCTAAATATTATTGCTACTAAAATAAAGCTTGTCACGCCCGTCACAAAGGAAACCTTATTTGAAGGTCACATGGTTGAGGGCATGACTGTAGAATACACAGAATCAAGATACCTGAAAAGAGAACCCAGCTAGGTGCTGAATTTGTATTGCTAGTAGGTAAAAGTTTCTCCTGTTTTTAATACTAGTGTATTTTACATGAAAACCAAAGATAGAAAAGCCACAGAACTTAAAAAAAAAAAAAAAAAAGTCTTTTCTGTCAGTAAAAGCTTTTTCTTAAATAGCTTTAAGCTTTATTGTCAGAAAATTAAGAAGCCCTATATACTAAACTATTATAAAGTATTATAATAGTACTAAACTATTATAAACTAAACTATTATACTATATTATTTACTAAACTGTATTAATAATAATATATTAATAATATAACAATAATAATATATTATTATTTACTATACTATATTTACTATATTATTTACTAAACTAAACTATTATAAACTATTATAAACTGGAGAACAAGTCCTACGAGGAGTGGCTGAGGGAGCTGGGCTTGTTCAGCCTGGAGAAGAGGAGGCTCAGGAGCGACCTTATCGCTCTCTACAGGTACCTTAAAGGAGGCTGTAGCGAGGTGGGGGTTGGCCTGTTCTCCCACGTGCCTGGTGACAGGACGAGGGGGAATGGGCTTAAGTTGCACCGGGGGAGTTTTAGGTTAGATGTTAGGAAGAACTTCTTTACTGAAAGGGATTGTTAGACACTGGAACAGGCTGCCCAGAGAAGGTGGTGGAGTCACCATCCCTGGAAGTCTTCAAAAGACGTTTAGATGTAGAGCTTAGGGATATGGTTTAGTGGGGACTGTTAGTGTTAGGTCAGAGGTTGGACTCAATGATCTTGAGGTCTCTTCCAACCTAGAAATTCTGTGATTCCGTGATTATCTGATGTAATTTTGAAGAAAAATGATTTTACAAGTCACGTAACAGTTAGAGAAATCTTTCCTTCTTCTCCCTTCCGCAGTATTCTCACCAGCCAAGAATTTTAAATTCTGACGCTATTCAAAAAGTTGCAGAAAACACCAATGTTTCTGAAATGTGGGAAAATGATCTGCGCCCCATCCTGATAGAAAGATACTCAGGATCACCAGGAAACTATGCCGTACGGCAGGTAAGACAACATTTTTTGAAAACCTCTACGAACGCCTATTATTTATATTCAGATAGTGCCTTCAGTGACAACGTAGGGGACACAGGATGCACCTTATCACTATTCCAAGCTATACTGTGCAGTGCCTACAAGATACAGCTCGCACTTCAGCTATCATTACTTCCTAGGACTGCATCACAAAGTGAAAGAAAATCTGGTTTTAGGTTCATGTTAAATATGTTTTTTTAAATTTAAAAACTTGCCCCAGTTTTGGTAACCAAAGTACAACACAATGCTTTTCCTTTCCCTTAAGTGACCAGGATTTTGGTCACTGGTTCAAACACCCTGCACAGGGATTAATTAAGTGACTTCCCCACACACCTCTCTTCTTCTGGAGCAGTCCTGTGCTGTTACACTCCCCTGTAATGTTGCCTTGGATGGATGGAAAAAAAAAACAAAAAGGAATAAAAGGGATGAGAGAAGCCCACACTGGCAGGCAGCCTCAATGGTCAACACGACAATCCACAACACTAGCCCTGTTGGCACAAGAATGTCTGCACATTAATATTGGGCTAACACAGATACACTGCACCAAGCTGATAAGATCTCCAGCACATTGTGTTTGAGCCACAGGGATTTAACACAACCAAGCCCTCCTGTGTACCCTGCCCACTCTGAATTGCATCAGTCAGTCAGGATACTACAACACTGGCACAGCTGAGTTTACTTGAAAGTGCTTGCAACATCTCACCAGCCTTCCTCTACCCTTGGAGCAGTGACTCAACAGCTCCAAGACAGCCCTAACTACACTAAGTTCATTTGCCACTCTGCAACTGGTAGACTGGAAAAATGCCGCTTTTTAATGCTGTGTGTATCTATAGATTTAGTTCTGTGGTTTCCTTAGTGATACCCTGGAAGGTAGCCAAATGAAAGGGGAAAAAGTAAGAAAAAGAAAACAAAAAACAGCACAGCCTAGACTAGAAGACCAAAAATCAGGTTCAAAAAAGGATCATCTTGTTACAAGGTAACAGCATATACTAAATTAGACCTCCACCAAGGAAAAAACACAACAGAATATGCAATGGGTGACCTTTCTTTGTGAAGACACAGAAAAAGTATCAGATTCCTTTAAGGGAGAGGGCTAGTTCCAGTCACAGATAGAGCACTCTGGGAACTTCACCCAGGCTTACATATTCCTCTTAATCCGTAACAGAAGTCCTTTGCTCTGCCTACAGATAGTGGATAGACCATACAATGCCATAAAAGCTTTTGGAAGGTGACCACAAGCAAAATGGAAGTTTGTTCCAGCACAAAATTTATGGCAGCGTTCCCTCTGACTTCACTAAGAACAGGACAAGTTTTCAAAGTCTATTTTCTTTTTTCCCCTTAGAGGCTTTTGTGAATGTTTATTTAGAGAGAGAGGAATCTGCCTTGAAGAAGCACTCTGGGGACCCATAAAAATAAGTTGCTCAACAGAGATGGCCCTCTAGTAAGAGTTAGCCAGAACTCTGTACTAAGTATAGCTAGCGTAGTTAGAGGTATTCTCTTACGGTAGGAAGTTACCTAAAAGGAGTGATCTCTCATACAGATTTACAGTCTTCATTTTCATCAAGGATTTAATTTTTAAACATATGAAATGCTTCATTCATTCCTTAGTTTACAAGAACCAGACTGCCTTTCATAGCCTTGTAAACAACTTTGGGCACTTGAATGGCAGTTTTCTCATAGAAGTTAAAAAAAAAAAATTAAACCATAGTTTTATTTATATTGCTATGTATCTATACATAGTAATTGTCAAAATTGTCAAAAACAAGTTCTCTGCAGCCATGTTTGACACTTTAGGACAGAAGCGAGTTTAGATTTTAATAGGCAAACATTAAATCTATCCTGGTTACACCTGGAAAAGACTTGCTTGGAGTCTTCAGAGATCAAAATCTCAACATGTCACATGGATGGGGAATCATTCAGAACTCACAGATTCCAAATACAAGAGACCAAATGGAGAGATGAAAAACATGCAAGCCAGTCAGAGAGTAGGCTAAGGTAATAAGGATGGTGCTTATTTTATATGGTGACATTAATTTTTTTTTCCCCTGTAAAATTCACCCATCAGAGCTTACAGAAATAAACTTATGTGCCGCTGTGATAAATTATCTACTGATAATTTGTCTGCAATGTCTTTTTTAGCAAGTGATATTCATCTGGTATACTTTTTTTTTTTTTTAATTAATTGCAGCACATCAAGCACCGTCTTCAAAGGTTACAGGCTGGTTGGGAAGTTGAAGAAGATACCTTTCAGAGATACACGCCGTATGGATATCAAACCTTTTCAAATATTATCAGTACTCTCAACCCCTCTGCAAAACGCCATCTGGTACTCGCCTGCCACTACGACTCAAAATTCTTTGCACCGCAATGGCACGGGAGGGTGTTTGTAGGAGCAACTGATTCAGCCGTGCCTTGTGCTATGATATTGGAGCTGGCACGGGCCCTGGATAACAAGCTTCAGGCAATCAAGGTAGTTTGACTGTTTCATTTTCATGTGTTTTTGCAATAGCAATAGACCTGAGGGCATTTCCATGTTGTCTCCTTCTGTGCCTATAGTACAACTCCTGTCAGCTTCAAGAGGAACCAGAGACATGCAGCTACTACTGCTGTAAATTGGCACACTAAAACTTGATATGGAAAGTGTGACTATCTGAAAGTTATCTAATAGATACTATATAAAACCAATAACGTGAATAATGCAAGTTTCACAGACTTAGGTACAATCCTACTTAGTACATGAAAAGCAACAGACTCCTACTGAGAAGTTGCTGCCATATCCAGTACCAAGGCTTTATTTCTTTCGCAATCTTGCATTTAACAATGCAAGTGACAATATCACGTTATCAGTCTCCTACAGTAGGAAAATCTGCTTCAAAGCTCTGCCATTGCTGGGCACAAGAACGTGTTGATCCTACCAGCTCTACAAGCTATTTCACACACTCATGAGTGCCATCTAGTGGTTCCGTACTTACTATTTACAGAAGAAGAATTCCCAAACACCAACAGTGCTTTCACGGGAAAAGTTTTCTCAAATGCTTTATGAAGCATTGGAATACACTCAGCTCAAGTATTATGGTTACCTGTCTCCAGTTGTTTCCAGAAACTGATTTGGTACCTTCTGACATTAGAATATTTAAGAATTGAAAGATTAAGAATATGCCAAGGTTTTTAGTCACAGAACGAAGCACTCCTGTAATACACACGTAGAGCTTCCATTTAGAAGCAGCTTCATTTAGCAAACATTTGCCTGCTTGTTATTTATGGAACAACCCGTACGCTGATTTAAGGACTGGATCTTTTGGCAACTAATACATCGTTTCATGATTGTTTAATCACGTAAGATGACAGCACTTGACAAAAAGGCAATCTAATTATTTCACACAGGCTATCGTTTGTACACTCCTGTAACAAAATACACTTTGGGATCCATCTGCTTAATACATTAGCTGTGACCTTTTCGCTCTGCTCATAGCAGCATAACAGACCTTGTTATGTTTTCAGCCAAATCTATTTATACTTCGACTTGAAACCGTGATCTTTACCCTGATGTTTCTCCAATTATATAGAGTAAATTTAAAATTAAAGGGCAAAAATTCCTCTTTACATTATCCAGACCTGGCAATGTGCTGAGCAGTAATAATAACTAAAACTACTGCTTTCTAAAATTCAAACGTTGTTAATGCAGTTTGCTCCAAAATGTAATGCGAAACAACTGGTATCAAAGATGCTCCATCTAGTGCACAGGACAAAGGGCAGCAAGAAAGCATTGCCATTAGAAAAATCCATACATTACTGTAAGCATAATCAATAATCATCTTGCCTACGTGAGCGACACTTTATAGAGGTTTTCCTCTATTGTTTGTATTGGATCAGCTCCAGCGAGCTGGGAGGTGTAGCCCATACAGGACACGACCGTTGCCAGCAACCCCACCTTTTTAACCACATCATGCAGTTTCACTTGAAGTGAAATTAATTCATAGAGGGATTAAAATATTCACAGCAACTGCCAAGAATACAGTTCCTGAAACTGTTCATGTGCTGGAACTGAACTGGGTTTAGCCATGCTGTTGATTAGTAAGAAACGCTGCCAGAGCAAACAAGGCTTCAGTTAGTAAATAGAGAGAAAAGAGGATCCTATATCGAGAAGAAATTTCACACAGATGCCTCCTTTATGACCCTAAATAATCATATATATTCTCAACAGTTTCCATTACTGTGCTATTTTCAGTTGAAGAGGAAGGGTGTATCCATTCCACTGTCTGTGCTTTGGTTTTAGGGTATAGTTACCTAGATGGTTGCAAGTCCCCGTGAAGGAAAAGAAATGATCATTCTTTTCACGACTAACTGCTCTTTTTCCCTCAGTGGAACAAACTTTACATAATTCACCTCCACTGATGCATAACTACAGCAGAAATATTATTCCTTTGTGGCACAGTCATGCGATGTTAGTACTCACAGCAGGTGTTGTTGCTGACATGTCTCTCCCGTTATCTGAAATGGGGTTTTGGCTACCTGACTTTGCAAACCTGTCTCAACATACTCAGCTCACATCCACTGAAGTCAGAAATTAAACTTTTAACCAGAACCCAATATCATACCAGGTTGGAGACATGTCACTGTGCTGGATAAATAATAATGATTGATGACTACCACTACCACACTATAACGTGTTTAACAGCCATAGGAGGCTTTGCACAACGTGCCCTGAGAATATACCTGCACTTAATGCAGCTTTTATGACTACAGCATGTCCTTTACTTAATGCTATAGCCAGAAGCAGTTATGTTGTTTTTAATTTCTTCCAACAGACCAGCTCAACATCAAGACCAGACCTTTCACTTCAGCTTATTTTTTTTGATGGTGAAGAAGCTTTTGTCCAGTGGTCCCCTTCCGATTCCCTCTATGGGTCTCAGCACTTGGCTCAGAAGATGGTATCTACTCCACATCCACCTGGCTCAACAACCACAAATCAGCTCCAGGGCATGGTAAGTGCCCTACGCCTACATAATGAGTAATAATAAGTTCCAATTCTTTAATATTTAATTTGGAAATAACTGGCCTAACTCCTAAGAAACATGAACCTCATCACAATTAACAGAAGTAAACTTGTGGGAAATTTAGGAGATGATAAAATATAGAAATGGCAAGACTTTTTCAGGTGGATCCACTTAGATCTTCTCCATGCAAATATACGGAAAAGCTTTAGAAAAATCAAAATACACAGATTTATCAGAATACAAGCTAGGATACCCATCTCCTTCAACAGAGATCACTCAAAGCGATTAGGAAAGAACACAGAACTTTAGAGTCTTTGAAAAATCTCCCCAAGTTCATCTGTGGTTTCAGACCCCTCAGCACCAAGCTACAATAAGCTCTCTGTGTTGCCTTTTGATTCCTACATTTTGTCGTCTCCTCCCCTCTCCCTCCTGCCTTCTGGTTTCCCAACTCATTGCTGAGACACTTTTCTTCTGTCCCTGTATCTCGTGACTCATGTCTTTCCCTTGACAGACTTTGTTGTTCTCCAGGGAAGAAGCAATTTCCTCTTCCCCCCACCATAGCTTTTCTTTTAAAGGGATGAAACACACACTGCAAAGAAAGCAGCACAGCCTGTTTCAGAATGAGGAACAGAGAAACGCTCTTCCTTTTTTTCCCTTTTTCCTCCTCGGAAAGACAGCAGGATGCATTAGTTTTGAGTCAGGTTCTGCTAACGAGTTCTTCTCAGGCACCATGGTAGAAAAGCCAGGTCTTGGGCAAGAGCCAAAGACCTAGTCATGACCAGTACAGGAACCATGAGGTGTCATTAATGCTGCTGGTGGTGGAGCGATGTAAAGAATTCTGTATTAAAGATTCTTTCCTCTGTAGGACCTGCTTGTACTACTGGATTTAATCGGTGCACCAAACCCAGTCTTTCCCAATTATTTTCCAAACACTATCCGATGGTTTCAGAGGCTTCAAGCAATTGGTAAGGAGAGGGGCATGGGCTCTTGACAAATCTAAAAGCTTATTCCTTATGTTTGTAAGGAATGAAGCCATGTAAATTAGATTTTAAATTACTTTTTCTGGTTTACTGTTATAATATTTAAGAATGTAAATGTTAAATTTGGTGCATCTGAAATATTGAAATCTTCATGCAGGTTTAATTAATAAACATCTGAGTAAGACTCACAGACACTTGGAAGCCATGAAACAGATTCTACTTCTTACTGCCACTTTGTGACTCTTGCAAACTACTTCACATCTGTTTCAATTCTCACTTCCGTAAAATGATGGTAATATCACCAGTCTTGAGGTCTTCTAAATACTAAACGAATGCAAAAGACTGTCCCCAGCTCTTTTTCTTCTTTGACGGGAAAAGCTTCCATGTGAGAGGAAAAATAATCCCCATGTGCTAATATGCCTCACACTGTCCAAACACATTAACAGCCACTTTCATTGTGAATTTCAGAGGAAAAGCTACACGGCATGAATCTGTTGAAGAATCACCTTGTTGAGAGGCAGTACTTCCAGAATAATTTACATCGAGGCTTGGTTGAAGATGACCACGTTCCATTTTTATTAAGAGGTAATGGCAGCTCTAATACCACTTTAAAAACATAAGTTCAGTAACAAATGCTCCATTTAGAAAATAAGCAAGGGCACATGAACCTGTTTTTCAAGCTTGTGTGTCCCCAGGTTGAAGCTTCCAAATCCAACATTATGAGGGTCAAGAGTCACAGCTTTGAAAAACATCGCAGAGCAAAAGCAGAGATAAAACATGCCCTTCATCATTTTGCATGAGCACAGCTCCAAGGGCACAGAAGTAATGGCAATTTCTGTCACCAGTACAGCATCCTACAAAAATGGGTAACTCTGCCCCAGTGGGATATCACTGCATGCTACATTATGCCAGTTACTGGCCAGTTATGGCTAGTCACTGTTTCTAGAAGCAGTGAGACACTTCACATCTTCAAAGACTACAAAATTCTCTAAAGACCTTTTGTCAAATTTATATTAAATGATCACAATTACCTGTTTAAATCTGAAGGCACTGACTCCTGCAAAAACTCATATTCAGATCAGACATCCTCATTCCCTATAGCAAACTGAGATTTCACAACTTGAAATCAATCCTGAAAAAGAATTGACAACTTGAAAGCTTGAGGGGTGGGAAAGATGTATATAGCAGCCAGCAAGAAGAGCAAAGGCCACACTATGTCTGAAATCCCTCCTGGCATTAGGCATGTACCTGGAAGTGGAATTTCCTACCTGAGCATCTCTCCTGGCAGACACCTACACTACTGCCCTCTGACTCTACATTCATTCTTTTCTCTTGGGATGCAAAGAAAGGGCAAGCAGTTACACTGGTGCTACAGGTCAACAGCTAAAGCACTTGCCCAAATGCAAGACATGGATTTCATCTCCCCAATTCAAGCACTCGGTATAGCGACTTCAAAATGAATGTGGGCCAAAGAAGGGTACTGGATATAGTGCATTCTTCTGGTCGAAATTTCCCAACACACAGCAAGAACTACAAGAGTCATATTGCTAGAGAAGGGTTAAGCAAAAAGGAGTGTGACATGAGTTCAGTGCAGAGCGTATCTACCTAGGAAAGGAGGGAGATCCCTTCCTATCCAGTCCTTAATTTTCCTGTTGCTTATTCTCTCTAACTACTGAGTATTGCAACATGTGCACACAGCTCTGGAAGCAGGCACAAGAGCAATCACACCTCACTTACTGTCCCGCTCATTGTCTCTTCAGCTCCATCAACCTTTCATTTTTCACAGCAAGGCAGGGCATGGGTCCAATGAAATCTACACAGCTCACACATGCATGTACAGGGATATAAAAAAAAACCTACACGAGGGAAGCTGATAAGGGACTACACCTCAAAACCTTTTATAATAACATAAACAATGCCTAGTGAATAAAATATTCCTCTGTGGTATTTGGCTGAAAAACTAGAGAGGAAAAGCAATAAAACAGGAAAGAGGCTGGAGACAACAATGCTCCACCACTGCGCCCAAAGAAGGATCAGGAAACTGAAGACTGATTTAATTCCTTTTACAGAAAAATTGCATCACGTGTCAATGCATCAGTGACTTTTTATATGTATATACAGTATTACAGATCCTTTAAAGTGTAAATTCTTTTATCTGAGGATAATAGTGCTTCTACTTGCTAGAAGAAAAACACAGTAATACTGATTTACCACTTAGGGAAAAGACTAAAAACTGCCTCAAGAAAGTGCTCGATCCTAACGCTGGCATGAGAACATGATAATCAGTTTGGGTTTGTGGAGCTGCAGTGGTTTCTTTGCCCTTCCCTAGCTACTAAACACAGTATTAGCCACTACAATGCATGGAATCTTAAAAAGTAAAAAATAAAGAAAACACAACAGGGCAGGTGTCACAACAGTAAAACTATTAGCTACACATGCCTTAAAAAAGGAGAAAAAGCACTTAAGGGAAAAGAGGATAGTATCAATTTTAGGAAGCACACGATCAAACAGGCTGCAGTCAGTCACAGGGTTCAAAAAAGAGATTGTAAAAGGAAACTGCAATGACACACATTCCTCTCCGAGGTAAGTGTATTGGGTAGTGACCTGAATATCATTAACTGGTCACGTATCAATTTGATTAACAGAACTCCTGCAGTATTTTTTCTTCAAATATCACTATTTTCCTCATAGGGGTTCCAGTCCTCCATCTGATTCCGTCTCCTTTTCCTCAAGTATGGCACACCATGGAGGACACTGAAGAAAACCTTGACAAAAACACTATCGACAATCTCAGCAAAATCCTGCAAGTGTTTGTACTAGAATACCTGAACCTGCAGTGAGATACTGGCAACAAATCGTGCTCCATTTTAAATGCTGTTCACCCACCTTCACTTTTGCCGTTTAATTACATCAGAGAACACTAAAGCGAAGGAAAATACGGTGGTATTTTCTGCTAGACTGATTACTGATTCAGTTGTTCCTGGCTCAATGTTCCATATAAACAAATAAAAGATAGCATTAAAAAAGAACTAGTTTCAGCCTGGAAAGAATTTGATCTTTCCATGTCTTACCTCTGAATAAACAAAACCCGAATTTTCCCACATTGTTATCACAGTTTTTATGTCACATATTAAGATCCCTGTAGGAAATGCCTCCAGACATGTGTAGCTACTTTAAAAAAAATGTGCAACCAACTTCTGCCGTCTTCAGCAAGAGAAATTTATAACACTTTGTTAAAAGAGGGAAAAATCACATTAAAATAATACAATACAAATTTGTTAAATTGTAATATTACATGACAGTCTGAAAATGAAACTGAATTTTTGTTGCTCAAGATGAAACAAAAATGCATTTTGTTTTCCCATTTTACCATTTGTGAGAAATGTTTCTATTGTGCATAAAACTTCTGAAGTAGAAAACAAATTCTAAAAATTGGTCAGATGTGTTTCTTTTCAGATAAATATTACTGTACATTTGTGCAACTACATCAAAACTATTTGCTATCCTATTCTCCTCTACTTTGGCCTGTGAGAGTAACATTCTCAATTACTATCTCTGCAGTTTGAATACTCTGAGCAGTCCTGTACAAGTTCCTGTAGATGAAGATAGCAAAATGGCTGTATACAGAAATATTAATCAAGTTTGTGCGGCTAATTTCAGTTTTAGACACTAACTCATGGCACTTCAAACTTTGAAAAATTCATTAGGTACATGCAATGTGCGCTGCCACTCTGGTTCTTCAAGTATTTGAACGTTAACTTAAAATAGGCCTCACTATTAAACATGGGATCAGAGGGTTGTCCTAACTGGGGAAAGCCTAAATTTTTCAACTCAATAGAGTTAGTTGAAAACATAATTGAAAAATGTAATTTAAACCAATTGTCCAGCATGCCAGTTTTGTCAGAAACTTCTAAATGCCTGAGCATGCGGTACTCCTGAGTTGTTAACTCAGTTCAAAGTGGAGATACAGGCTGCTGTAATATTTCGTTGTTCTCAAAAAAAAAAAAAAAGGCATTTTTCTTTTACCTTTTCTTTTTTTTTTTTTTTTGGACAGGAAGAGGGCCCTCTCAAATACATTTGAGCCCTAGGAAGGGTTTCCTTAAAGAGACACATAGCTATAATTTTTAGACATCATCTTAGCAATTTAAACGATCATTCATTTCAAAAACTTAAACTGCATTTACAACTGCTGAATGTAAAACGTACATGAGCCCAGTACCCATGTGACTAGAAATCTAAGACCCCAAATGCACAAGAACCTGAAGTCCTTTATCAGTAAAGACATGATATAAGACAGGTCCTCACTGCTACTAAGCCAAAGCAGAAAAAGCAGGTAGGAAGGAATCCACATATTTGGTAAAATACCCGGGAAAGACAAGTGACAAGAATAGGACTGGTATCTCTCAGTTTCAACAGTGTGTATCACTAAGTGCATCTGCAGGATCTGGGCATGCACAGTACAGATAATCAGTTCAGAATTCAGACAGGCTTTATGTTAAAAGTCATCTTCCCTGTTGGATGGTGGCAGCAGGAGACAGAAATCACCAGAGAGATTCTTACCAGAGGTTATCTTAAAGTTATGCAAATCAGCAGGATTTGTCACATGTCAAGTAAAAAAAAAAAAAAAAATAAGAAAAGTAATAGAAAAAAAATATCAATCCACCAGCCCTTAAGAGGCTGTCACTGGCTTGTCACAGTCCTAAAGGTGCATGTATTACCTGGGGGAAGGGAACAGAACAGAACGAACTCAAGAGCCATTTTCCAGCTTTACTCAGTAGGTAAAGCTGGAAAAAAAAAACCACCATACATTAGTTACATGTAGTATAAACTCTAGCTCCTTTTATATCAGGACGATGCAGTCTGTCACAAGAAATGTAAGTGTGCAGCCCTCATTCTCTAACGCTCGATGCATTAGCTTAGGGATATGGTTTAGTGGGGACTGTTAGCGTTAGGTCAGAGGTTGGACTCGATGATCTTGAGGTCTCTTCCAACCTAGAAATTCTGTGATTCTGTGATTCATTTACCTACAAGCGAAGCGATCCTACGCAAGCACAGTTGGAACAGGTTAAGGGAGTAACAGTGCTGAATCCTGGGGTAGGCAGAAGAAACAGCGAGTACCAGTCCTCTTTCTCTTCTAGCTGGGACAACATTCCTATCACCAGGAACGAAGACAGCATAAATTAGCAGTTCTTATTCACCATGTTTCAAATAAACATTTTGATTGTGACCACCCAGCAGCAAAATACAATCAAAGGCAAAATATGCTTTTTGAAGGACCCAATCTACATTGGTAGCAGACCCAGCAAAACACTTCATTTCACACAGCTGCTCTTTGAGATTGAAGTATCACCTGAGAGCACCATTTAAACCGTAGCTATACATAAAAAGATAACCACAACATTTTGCAGACAAATTACCACTTTTTGCCTCGTCATTCAAGGATGACACTGATTTTATTTTCCTCATATAAAAGGAGACATTTTACTCTGTGCTGATTTAACAAATGTTCTGAATATATTCATTACAATAAAGCAGCTAAAAAGCTGTTCTAATCTCTAAAAGAACCTTTATCATCTGCACATATGATACATATATATATAGTAAACAATCACTCCAAAAATAATTTTGTAAAAGTGATCATATTGCACTCAGAATTCTGGAATTCCGTTCTTCCTTCGCATTTTAAATCACAGATCAGCTTCATTTTTTGTATTTTTTTTTTTTTTAACAAAATGAAGCTTTAATTTTCTATTAAAAACAAGTAGGCATGCAATCAATATAATACAATATATCCGAAATATCACAAAAAGGGAAAGTGTTTGGTTATGAAACGAGTAAGGAACAATTCTCAGAGGCCACATGAGAGTAGTAATTGTAAACATTCTGCTGGCTCTAAGGTGTTGCAGATGTTGCAGAGAGTGCAGCCTAGTTCAGCACCCACGAGATACACAGAAACTGTTCAAATGTTCTGTACTTCAGCGAATTTCCATGCAGCAATGGCACATCCAAGAGGCTACACATACAGACAGAGCAATGAAACAAAGGTGGTTACTGAGCGAACGGTAACCTCGGATCACTGCCATTTTTCAATGGAAGTTTTCCAGGTCTTACATACTCTAACAGCAGCGAAACTATTCTTGTTGCTGCCAATGAAGTACAGAACTAGATCCCCTATTTGTACTGTAACCAGTGGCAGACTGGACACTACCCTCAGCCTACAAAATCCCAGCAATCCCATCATGCAGAACGTCACCTTGATTTGCTTGCAAGAGTGACAACCTTCCCCACGTGTCAGAGCAAGTAACACAGGCAGTAGACAAGGGAAAAAAGAAAAAAAAAATCCTCAGCCAACATGAAGAGGCTACAGATGTTGAAAGTTCAAATGAAGGCTGCTTCTTCTCATCTCACTTTTACAGGAGAAAAAAAAATTCTCTATTAAACCCATTATCTTCAGGTAACATCAATACACTTGGAGTCCCTGAGATAATGTAGCTCTCTAACTACCTTGGACAAATGGAGAGACTAACTTCGTATATACATCAACACGGTGGAAGCCAATACAGAGCACCCTGAGTTGCAAGTGAAACAGTAAGAATGGGCAACCCATTCCTGAACAGCCAAGGGATGCAGAAGAAAGTGCAGAGAAGGTACTGACTAAGGAATTAAAAGATACATATTGCAGGGGAGGACAGAAAAAAACATTAATTAAAGTATTTCTAAAAGGCCTTTCCCTCTTACCACTGGAGCAATGAAGAAAAAGCAACCAGAGCTAAGAGCTCTTTGAGAAAGGTTGTGAAGAAGCATGGCCTTCTGGATGCATGGCAGAACAATAACGTAAAGGCGCAAAGAGACAAGTTAGGGAGTCTTCTTCACAGGGTGCCCCAGAGGTTAAGCACTCTAGCACAGACAGTTAAGAACTGTCAGTGATCACTGACAGTACGCTGGATATAAACCAGGCATATAAGTAGATTATTTTTTTTCTCCTGAAACTACAGGAAAAATACAAAGAGGAAAAATACAAAGTCACAATCAATTTGAAGAATACTTTCCATACTGAAAAATGAAATACTGGCTTCAGAAACAAAACAGAGATCTGTTCTGTATCTTAAGTAGGGTTAATTGTAAAAAAGAGGTGCTTGTAAAATCTTAAGTTTGAAATCCTTTATTTCCCACTATATTGCTAAGTAATTTTGCAATTAGATCAAAAAGAAATATCAGAGATGGATATGGAATACTTACAACTAGAAAATGGTTGCTGAATCATCGGAATTTCCATAAAGGCATCAACAAAAAAAAATGTAAAAACATTGTCTCATAAAGTTAATTAGAATCTGAAGTACCAGATTGTCTTCACAATGGTCACAATTTGAATATTGATGGATTTTTGCAGCCCTGGAAAAAGTAATTGTGACTTTGCCAAAAGAAGACTTAATACAGCAATCAAAACATCCTTAAAAACTGAGTATTGCATTTCTGCAATTTCTTATTCTCTCAGCCATTCAACATCCAATAAGCAGTTCTCATCTGAAAAAACATTACCCGGTCACAATTTTACTCTCTTACAGAGCTGTGCTATATCTTAATACTTTCTTGGGAAAAAAAGGAAAGTGAATTAAAAGCTGAATAAAAGTAGACACACTATAAAAGCTACCTGTAAAGTATTGTAAGTCTGGAAAACATTTGTGGCATTACACAGGCTATTGCTGACGCAAAGGAAAAAAAAAAAGCAATTTAACCATTTCATGAATATGAACAATGCACTTGTTCCCAGCCATTTAGAATGTTCTGACATTCCAAATGTTTATAAAAATTGGGTAATAAAAGAATTAAGTCAATACCCTTAAGTACAATAAATAATGGTGTTTATTATGGTCGAGGTTGACCACGAGTGTTTGTTCCATATCTGCTTGGGACATTTGTAAAACCAGTTCTGAATCCTTGCTGTGCTCCCATTCCTGGTATTCCAAATCCTTGACTGAGTACACTGCTGTAGGGTGCGGATCCGTGATTAAGGCCCAGTCCATAGGGCCTCGTCTGAGTGTTTAAAAGGATAACTGGATTCACATTTTTGCCTGGCGTATTGAAAGAAAATTCTGGTGGTGGGCTGCTGGGCTTAGCTGGAGTAGATGTAATAGGGTTCAAGTTGTCAGCAGCTTTCAAAGATGGCATTGAAATAATGTGATGATCTGAAAGGTTCAGCATATTGTTTGCAATAGGCACAGATGATAAGGTAGGTCTGATCCAGTCATCTTTGAAAATCTGAACAGTCAAGGT